TATGGACAAATTGTAAGAATTATCAGGTGAAAGTTGTGTTAGGATAACCAAAATGAAAAGAGTGTAACTTGATGTCTTCCTGAGTTGTAATTCCAGGTGAGCAGGGTTTTCAAGTTCAACAAATGCAAAATGCGTTATTTCTTCATGACAAAGCAAACACATGGCCAGAAGTCGGTTTTGTTCCAGTGAAACCCCACACATAGGATTTCTCCTGCCCTCCTCCTGCTTGTTTTGTCTTTGGTTTTCTATTTCTCTTTGTGAAATACCCTTTCCATCTTGTTTTCTCTTTCACTCAGCCCCCCAGAGAGAGGGCTTCTTAAACAACAGATGTAGTCTCAATTTAAAAAGAAAAGAAAAAAGTGAGCTCAGCCCTAATTCTTTAATTCTTTTGGCAGGATGGGTTGACACCACTTCACTGTGCTGCGCGAAGTGGGCATGACCAAGTGGTAGAACTTCTGTTGGAACGAGGTGCTCCCTTGCTGGCAAGGACGAAGGTGAGTCATTATGGGTGAGAAGGGATCCAAGATACCCTTTGTGTCACTTTGTAGAAATTTATTTCCTTTTTGAAGTTAAAGAATCAGTTAAACATTTTCTAGTTACTCAATACATGTATACTCAAAATAAAAAATATAAATCAAATCAATTTAAAGTTATTAAAATGAACATATCCACGCAATTAAGTTGTATTAAAAGTGTATACCTCCAGATTCTTCCTATATTTTGCTGTACTTATTACAGGTGAAAACTATATAATTATACATAAATAAGGATATCATATAAAAATTAGAATATATTTTATAATCTGTGAGTCTAAATTTTTGATTCTCTGAGATAATCATAAAAATATATAAATATATTTTAAAGGAACACAAATAGCAATAAAAGATGGATCTTTTGCATATATAATTTTTATCTTTTAGGCAATACTAGTAAAATAATTCCTTAATGGTCTTGGTTGATTACATTTGGATCAGGAGTATGATACAGAAAACAAGATTGTCCACCTACAAAGAACCAATCAACAAGCATATTATTCTTATGGCATAATACTTCTAGTATTTTTTTTTATTTTGTTAATATACTTAAACATGAAGTAAATCATTTTCTATATAAATAAGAACCACATGGTTAGTTGGTTTGTTGGAGGTTTTAATTATCAAATGTAGTTTAAAAGCTTTATTGTGGTGTAGTTCGCCATTATCTAGCCTTACTTTGGGTTATCAGAAAATATCATGAAACAGATTGATGTTAATCATCCAGAATTATATAATGGGATATGCAACAACTTTTGGATCATTAACGATAACACCAATTTAGACCAAGTATACTTCTTATGTTTTTCCTCATTTCTTCCCCACCTCCCACCCTCAAACAGGATTGATATCAACTGATGCTTGTACTTGGTTCAATTAAAAAACTAAGGCAGCTGACACAAGCAAATATTTTTCAATTTATATTATATTTCAATTGACTGTTTAGTTAAAATCATTCAGAACAAACTAAATTACTCATTTAAATATATATCTAAATGTTTATATTGTATTGGAAAAGATGAAGTAATCAGGTTGAAGTGAGATGATACCTCTAATCTAGGAGGTACCAGACCGCCCTCCCTCTTCCTCCATAAAAGCTCTTGGTTTTGAATCACCCACAATTCCTCCTTGAAACAACTCCCCCTCAGTCTTTCAAAGTTCTAGCTCTCAGTTAACTGAATCTTTATCACAATTCATTTTGAATTCTTGGTAGTTTTAATGACCTTTATAAGAGCAATAGATTTAACAAATTATTTAAAATATTAATGTGTGTGTGTGTGTGTGTGTGTGTGTGTGTGTGTAGACAGAGAGAGAAAGAGAGAATCAAATCTTTAAAGATGTGTCTAACCAGCCATGGAAAGGTGGATTTAAATCAGAAATAAAAAAAGAGAAATAAATTATCTGAATTAATTAATTATCATGTTGATACTGCAAGTGTTATAAAAATATATTTTAAAATGCAAAATTTGGGGATGGATAATGCAGAGATAATTATGAAAAGTTTGGTTGAAATTTAAGTGGAAATAAAATTTTGGACTGATCATTTTATAACCAACAAAAACGTATATCAAATTTACGATATACAGATATTTTATCCCACAAATCAAACAATCTTGTCTATGGTGTTTTCCCATAACTGTCATATCATTAATGAAGACCCTGGATAACCAAGAGGGGGTTATTTTAATGGCCTTCTAAAAAATCAAGTAATATTCAGATGTAAGGATCCAACATAAACTGTTCATGACATGATTATATTCATTCACTCAAGCATGCATCCAACTATCATATTGAGATAATACAGTGTGCCAAGCAGCATTCTGCACACCAAAGGACTATTAAGATGAATAATACACAATTTATATCTTTAAGATGTTCAAATTTTGGTGGGAAAGATAGACAAGGAGATAATTACCAAGAGTAGAGCTATGTGCAGGATTAGGAACATGGATAAGATGAAGTAATCAGGTCACAGTGAGATGATACCTCTAACCTGGGAGGTACCAGACTGCTTTCCCCACCTCCTCCATGAAAGCTCTCAGTTTTGCATCACCCATGATTCCTTCTTGAAACAACTCCCCTCCCCCCAGTCTTTCAAATTTCTAGCTCTCAGCAAAATGAATCTTTACCACAATGCATTTCGAATTCTTGGTGATTTTAATGATCTTGATAAGAGCAATAGATGATTCTTCTACCTGGCCTCTTGGTGCAATAACTGTAAACCTTCTATTATTTCTGTTTCTAGCCTTCCCAACTCCAAACCACCCCCTTTTATATTTCAGCTCACTTTATCCAGAACCCACTTGCCCAAATTTTCTTATTCTGGTGGGCCATTCAGTCATAGCTTCCCTTGTCTCTCTTCATCTTATGCCCTCAATTCTCAATCAGAACCCACACGGTCTATGTTCTCTTCTGTTACTATCATCTAACACAACTTCTTACTACTCCTTTCTCAAAACACCTTCCTTATTTGCCTTCGAAGAAATTACATTCTTCTGGATTTCCTTCTGTTTTTCTGGCTTTCACTTCTTAAGCTCTTTAATGAGTTCCTCCTCAACTCTCAGGTCTCTGAACGTTAGAACTTCTGGAGCTCAGTCTTTGTGTCTTTCCTCTGTTTATTTGTACTCACTCCCTATGAACTCTTTAGATAGCATCTTCATGCTGATGAGACACAAGTGTATATATCTAAAATTCCATATGTTGATGTCAAGTCACCAAGACTATCAACTGGGCGTCTCAAATTTAGTAAGTTCAAAACTGAGCTCCTGGTATTTTCCCCACTCCTAACCATATCCTCTTATAGTGTCTCTTATCTCAATTCATAGCCATCCCTTACTTCCAGTTTCTTAGGCCAAATGCCTCACATCATGCTGGAACCCTCTCTTACTCTCCACATTCAGTCCCTCAACACTATAGCTTTCTCCTTTAAAATGTGTCATTAAGCCAGGAGCTTCTCAACAATCTCACTACTACTAGTCACCATCCCACCTGGATGGCTGCAAGAGACCCCAATTTGACCTTTCTTCTTTTCCCTCTAGCCCAGTCTATTCTTTTTTTTTTTTTTCAAATTTACAAACCAGACAATGGTATTCTTAATACAAGGATCACTGCAATCTTGTTGCCCTAATTCTTTCAGCAGTATCTCATCTGAAATAAAGTCGAATTCCCTGTTCTGACATGCAAGGTTTCTCACCTCTCTCAATTCCTCTCCCTCCTAAATCATGTAAGCAACATGATTCTCTTCTTTGCTGCCTATTGATCTATCATGCCAGCTGTGGTCCCAAAACAGCATGTTTCACTTTATTTTTCTTCTGCCTCATATGCTCTTTCCCCAAATCAATAACGCCAGCTCTCTTATCTTCATCTTGTCGAAACTCACCTTCTCAGTAAGACCATTTATGGCCACCCTAACACTGTTTCATTCACACCCACAAACTCTCTTGGCAATTTTCTGCTTTGGATTTCCCTGATGCAATGATGATTCAACATGTGAAATATTTTAATTTCAATCTTCGTTGTTTTTGAATTATATATCTATCTCCAACCTAGAAGTTAACCTTGATGAAGATGAGCATCCCTGTCTGTGTGTATATCCAATACTTGAATAGGGACTTGAGTAGGTTCTCAATAAACTAAAGTAAAATAAAGGATTATAATGGTGAATATTTTATTTTCTACATATCTCAAGTGAATAAAGTAGCATCAAAGAATAATAAAATTTTGGAGAAATATTTAAAACTGCAGTCCAAATAATAAGACTTGTATTTGTCCTTCACTTAGACATTATCTTTGTCTCTAATGCATGGATAAATTCTTATTAATGTGCTTCTCTTTTCTCTGTTCATTAATGGCTTTCTACATATAGAAGCAATAATTTTGGATAAAGATTATTTTAGAAACAATGAAAAATATTATTTTTAAGTCACTTGAACTCTATCACCCACTAACTATGGTAATCAGGACTTTAATCCATTTGTTTTTAGTCATTTCTCACTGTTGAAATTGTCCTTCTTATTGAGAATATTGGAGTTTGGGTCTCTTCTGGCATCTTATCCAGACACAATTTTTACTTTCTTGAATGTAATTATTACCAAAGTGTGGTTACTTCATCAACAATCATTTTTCTAGTGACTATACTAGAGTTGGTTAATAAGAAAAATTAATGGTACAGTCTGTTGAATGGGCAAATATTGCTTAAATCTAGTTTACTTCCTGGATTTGCATATATTTCATATACACATGTATATTACATATACAGTTTATTTATTTAGTGTTTTCAAAAAAAGGAGAGTCTTACTTACTTACTTACTTACTGGTAATTAACAGTGCGTAGCACTGCTATCTTATATTTCTGCTGGTGGGAAAGATAGACAAGAATTAAGGTTAAAGTTGCTTAGGACAGTATACATGATGACAAATTCAGATCCTCAAATTCAAAATTGTGAAGTCAGTACACATGGTCCACATTGGCTTCACGTTCCTCTAGGGTTCAAGCCCCAAATAAGACTCATAATATTATTGGAAAATGGAATCACGGAATTTCAGAGCAGCATAAAACCAAGAGTTGATCAGTTTCTTTACCCCCGTGAAGCATCCACTTGTTCCTCCTTCACTTACCTCCCCCTCTATAACAGATGAAGTGCTGGCAGAGAGATTAATTGAATGTCGACTGTTGTGTATGGAACTGGATGCAAATAATTTAAACATCAGCTATCACTTATTTTTATAGATTTAATACTGCCCTAATAATTATAAAATCAGGCTGCATTGCCACATATATTATTGCCATATATATTACTCATGAAAAGCATGTTAATATGTGTTTTACCTAAGAGTAGTACAATTATACTTTCCTTGCCATTGAACATAATCTGTTATTTATGCAGACATCAAATCAATATTATTTTCCCCCCTATTACTTATGTTAGAGATCAAGGATTGACTCTGCTGTGTTTCACAAACTTAAAGTCATTTTTGAAATGGTAAACATAGTTCTGCTTTGTTTTAACATACAGAATGGGCTGTCTCCACTTCACATGGCTGCACAGGGGGACCATGTGGAATGTGTGAAGCATTTGCTACAGCACAAAGCACCTGTGGATGATGTCACTCTCGACTACCTGACGGCCCTCCACGTTGCTGCACACTGTGGCCACTACCGTGTAACCAAACTCCTTCTGGACAAGAGAGCCAACCCCAACGCCAGAGCCCTGGTAAACCTGGCCCAATCCACATTTACTGAATACAGATTGAGACAAAATCCACATTGATTGACCAGTGGTGCCTACACCAGCAGTGCATGGTTACAGATATATAGTTAGTACTGCGAGTTTGTCAGTTTGTCACCTCCCACAAGTTGCCTGCCAACTTCATGCCTTCATAGTTTGCTGTTAAATGATGGTAAGCAAGGATAGATTTAAGAAAGCACCCAGGTAACATTCCTGAGATGAGTGAATTGCAAACAGATAGATACCAAGTTCTGGAGTAATAAGTGATATTAAATGGAAAATAGAAAAGAAAAAAAAAAGGAAAGTTCTAGATATCTCTAGATATTAAATAGAGTCAGAATACAGGTGTGTTGAACTTTATTAATCTCTTTTGGGAAAAAGAAAGAGTAAAGTAATGACTGTATGTAATACATAGGATAGTATAAAATAAAAGCCTGTGAAAGTTCACACGTAGATTTTCCTTTTTGACCTGATTACCCAACCATAGGTTAATAGAAAAGTGATTGCCTGGTGTACTGTCTCTTTGGGAAGCATTTTATAGAAACCATCCCAAGAATTGCTCAAGAGAAAACTGCAAGAGGCAGTCCTTAGATTAGCTTCTGTGTCTCCCAAGATCTAATATTAAATAAATCTTCCTTGCTTCACTTATATTCTAACAGTAATCATTGGAAGTTTTAGGCATGTACTAATTCATGCAACTTGTATCCTAATTCTCAAACTAAAAGCAAATCCTTTTTCCACAAGTTTAAATGATTTATGTCAGTGCAGATTCCTCTCTAATTAGTATGTAAGTTGAGAAAAATCATTTATATTCATTGAATATGAATTATTATTTTTATTTGAAATTTTCCATTGGAATCAATTTATTAATAATTACATAGGAAATAAATCTACCCCCAAAGGTACAATTAGGTGATGGAATTCATTTTTTCATAGGGAAATGAAGTATTAATTTTTAATTGAATAGAGCTCAATAAGCTTATAAAATATCACAATCTAATAATCGCAGATATATTTTAAGTGCTACATGTTCATGTGGCTATTTATATCTGGCTTGTTATACAGTCTATAAATAGGTGAAATGACTCAATGAACTAATTATGTTTATCACTCCACTGTGAAGGATAAGAAGTCATTAGCTTAAATAAAACCATGTGTTTTCCTGAGAACTGCTAACATATAAAAATGTCGATTGATGATCATTACCCATTGGAACATGTAAAACTGTTAACTGGCAGAATAGATATAACTCAATAAAGGATCATTGTTCAAATAAAAAGATGACAAATATAACATATAATGTTTAACCTCAGGATTAATTAAAATTTCACATAATTTCTCCAGTTCCTGGACATTCACCTAGTTTGCAAAGTTACAAAGTACCTCATAATCATCTTCCCACCTTCCCTTGCCTCTCAGAGGTATCCGCTTGTAATGATCCCAGAAACTCTCCCTTTTTATTGAAAATATTCAGGAACTTAGTCATTTCTTTATGAAATGAAATGTGTCTGATTGGCATATATGTGATAAATATTTTCAATAGAAAAACAATCTCGGGATATAAATTTATAACATAAATAATAATTTCTGGTAATTTGAAACACTTCATCTCTAAAGAAAAGGATAGCAGAGCTGAAACATTACTTTCAAGGCAGTTGTCAAAGATTTGCAAAGAAAAATAAGCAATTCTTATGCTCTGAGAATGGCTCTTCATCATGAAAACACATTCTTATTTTCAAGGCATCTTCAAGTCATTTCATCCAAGAATATCTAAAATATAATTGCCCCTCTATTTTTCCTTCTCTGAAGAGTAGGCCCGTGTATTTTTCTTCTCTTTTTGTTTGCTTTGTAAGCACACAAACAGAATTAAGAACAGAATTAAGAACAAGGAAGCAAAATCCAGTGCCCATAGGAACACACCGCCCCTTTTCTTTCCAAATTCAGACACCTACAGAGTTTGAAGAAACGGTGACATTTTGTGACGATGTAACATTATTGCCTGCAATGTGCCAGCATGGAGTTGTGTGAGAATCGTTTCTGCATGTTTTCAACTAACTTGATTGTCTTTTGCACAGAATGGTTTTACTCCACTGCACATTGCCTGCAAGAAAAACCGCATCAAAGTCATGGAACTGCTGGTGAAATATGGGGCTTCAATCCAAGCTATAACAGAGGTAGAAAAAATGTTTCAGCTCATCACGAAACATTCCTTCTCTTACTCCTTACCCTTCCTCTCACCCATCTTCTGTCCTCTTCACCAAGTTGTATTTATCTGAAGAAGCCCCAAAGCCCCACCGGTGCAGAGGAGTAAAACTGCTGTTGCTTTGTTTCGCAGTCTGGCCTCACACCAATACATGTGGCTGCCTTCATGGGCCACTTGAACATTGTCCTCCTTCTGCTGCAGAACGGAGCCTCTCCAGATGTCACTAACATTGTGAGTATGGCTTGGGTCAGAATAACCGCAGGGACAAAGAAAGAGAGGAGCTGAGAGTGTGGGTGTGTGTAGGTGTGTTTGCGTGTATATCACCAGAGCCAGCAATCTAGCTTTGAGAAGGGCCCTCATAATAAATCATATACTGTGAAATAATTGCTGGAACATCCCTGAAAAGAACCTCGATAGGTAAGAAATGGGCTCAAGAATGAAATGGGAGTTGTGAAGTGAGACAGCTTGAGCTACCCAAAGTAGATGGATTGAACATGCATGTAACATGCATTTACTCAAACTACATTTTAAACACTCCTCTGAGAGTGAATAGATGATTGTTGGAAAAAAAAAAATCTTCTGGGATCATCCTAGTTTTTTGAGTGAATTATATTCCAGATATTTTTTCAATAAAATATCAAATCAGTTCCATAATCAGTCTTATCAAAAAATTAACTAGAGATAAACCAGGGATTAAATAGAGATTTTTTTCCTTGATAATAATTTCTTCCTCTTTTCAGTGACATGGATTTTCCATTTCCTAACCTTCCTTTGATTTTTAAATTTTGATTTAATTTCCTCTGCTGGAGTGGAGACCTGTCTTACTTGAAATAGTTACACTCTCCCAAAATGAACTTTGATCTCCAGTCAACTTTCCTTCTGCCAGGAAACACTGATTATCCCAGGATCCTTCTATCTAATCTAAATTAGGATTTTTTACTTCTGAGTTCTTTATATTTCTCTCACTTTTGTGGGTTCTTCCCCCTTTAAACTCTGGCTATTATATCATGGAAAACCATCTAATTCAAATTTCACCTGAGCAAGGGCACGGTCTTGCACATGTGCCATCATGTATCAGAAGCTCAAGAGTGGCCACTGGAGTATTGGGATTTTTAAAAACATTTGCAAAAGAAATAACTATCCCTCAATAAATGTCAGTCACATTATTAAAAATGAATCATGTTTATAGAAGCATTTGCCTAACTATTGTCGCTGATTTTTATTTCATATAAGTTGTGAAACAGAAATTTCCAATTTTGCTTTTTTTTTTTTTAATTTCCCCTCATATTACTGTTTTAAACATTGCTTCTTTGCTCAAGTTTTTGATGCCTAGGCAAAATCCATTGTGGAACTAAACATTTTTTTAAATTTTAAATATTATTTAATACTCTCTATTATCCAAGAGTTGATGCATCAAACTATTAAAGTCTGTATTTTTGTTTTCCTAATTATTGATTTTTGGTCCTAAGTTTACACTATTATATGCTAATTGTTACTATTGTAACTATTAAGCAGATGTAATTTCATAATGTGCCAACTTGAGTTTAATTTCTAGTCACTTTAAGAACTCTAAAAGAAGGCATTTTTTATTCTTTATTAAGATATGATCAAAAAATTTTTGACTTGAGTAGGTTTACATACAGGCCAGTAACTTAAAAAAAAATACTGTGTATATTCTCCTATTCTTCTCACCCATCCCCCACTTTCATTATTTGAATTCAATACTCAAAAACTCACAGGAACAATAATGATAACATGTTAAATCGCTATCATATTACAATAATAACAAATGCAATTATATTCCATGGGGTTGTTTTCTTAGGGGAGATTTTTTGTAAAATCTTTGAGAATAATCCATACAAAATGGTTGTGGGATTCTGTGACCATTCTTGCTTTGCTTCTTAACTGACCAATTCCAAATCTTTGATGGCTGTTTCCTCCCAATATGTTCCCTTAGGGATGGGAGAAGGGAAATTATAAAGAAGACATGTAGATTTTTCAATAAAAATAAATAAAACACTAATTGAAACAATAAAAATGTTCAGTCTCTTAAAGACTCCCAAATCTGGCAATTAAACATAAATCTATTAAACATAACTCTCAATTAGTCTTTCTAAAGTTCTTCATTTTGTTCTGTTCATTTGTCCATTACGTTCTCCTCCCCTCCAGCCCCCTAAAAACAAATTCTTGAGAAGCACCTGCCAATCTAATCCTCTTCTCAACAGGGTTCCTAGTTGGTTTTATTTGTTCATTGACTTTTAGAAGATGTGTTCTTTAGGAAGTATACATCTGTAGTTAGAGTTGCTAAATAAAATACAAGATTCCCCATTAAATTTAAATTTTAGATAAACAATGACTTTTTTAGTATAAATATGTCCCATGCAATAGTTGAGACATACTAAAATAATCATTCATTGTTTGTCTGGAATTAAAATTTAACTGGCCATCTGTATTTTTATTTGCTAAACCTGGTACTCCTACATTTAGAGGAATTTAACTTTCTCTAATGATAGGATGCCTGTGAATATGAGGATATAGCTACTCAATCCAGAACTCTTTGCAAGTTGATTAAGAAGCCGTGTGAACACTGATTGCCTGCTTGCTGTGTTAGAGTTGGTCATTTCCTGACCCCAAAGTACCCCACCCTTGGAGCCTCTGTGTGCTGCCTGATATCATGTTGCATTTTTGAATGCAATGCTGTCTGTTGTGCTTTGATGCTTTCCAACTTGATGCAGCCAAAGTGGAAGTCCATGTAGCTGTCTGCAGTCAATTTTAACAATTGAGAAGAGGAGCATGAAACCTAGTACCTGCTTTGGACATGAGCATATCCATTCTCTTGCTGGTCTTGTTTTTGTCTGAAAATTCACTCCAATGTAAAGTGTACCAGTAACTCAATCAAGTGCAGATATTTTCCCTGAAAAGCTTCTTTTGCAGAAAGTTTATAATGCACCTTGAAAACTGCCCTACCAGTTACAGTACACTCATAAGCCGATATATTCATTGACAACCACGGAAGTAGAAAAGCAAGCAGTTTTAGGACTATTGAGAGTACAATCATGCAGGTTATTAAAAAAGCATCTCTTCTTCCTATAAGTCATGGTGAAGTTCACACTTTGCATTATGTTTAAAAAATTTCCCCCAATTCTTAAAGTTAATTAAGCTTAAGATAATGAAAACAGGCTAACAATCGAGAAATTGAAATTATTGAGGTAAACAGTATATACTTCCTTTTATTTTCTTATTTATACCTATGCAGAAACAGTGGGAATACAAATAAATAATGAAGGGCAAGGGCAATTTATTATAAATGCCAGTTGCTCCAGAATCATTAAAAAAGAATTAAAGACCATCATTAAAAAGTAGAAGGACCAGGTCTGCATACATATGTAACTTTTCTTTAAATATGAAGTTTAATACTTTAGGTTCATATCTAACTCATTAATTTCATATGTGTAAAAATCATAAAAATAACTTGTTTTATGTATAAAGTAAAGCTTTTCAAAATATTAAGACTGGTACTGAAAACATTTTTAGATTTTGACAATTCCTATTGATAAAGCTTGGCTTGTAAAACAAACATGTAAATTCACCATTGAGTAGAAACTTCTGGGGCCTCTTTGACTTAACCTCTTATCAAGAAATAATTTGTTCTCGCCTTTGTTTCTACCAAAACTAATAAGATTGCTAACCTTTTATCAGACCTAGAAATGAAGATTTGTACTTTTTTTTTAAGCAGTTAGAATCAGCCTCATCTATTGAGACTCAAGTTTTATATGTTATAGAAAACAAATTAGAAATCATGGTTGTCCAAAAAGGAAAAAAAAAATTGCCATATGTTTAAATTCTGAAGACAACTATTGCTACTCCAGGAAAAATACCATGCTTTTATAAAATAACATATTCCAGATAGATTTACTTTACAAAAGTCACGGTTTGCTATCAGATAATTACTAGAGATAAGTGAGTCATCAACAAAGAAGAGAAAATTAGAGCAGACATTCAGTTTAATGCATTCACAATTAAGTCATTTGACAGGAATTTCTCATAACTTCAAAAGGAATGGGTCTCTGAAGAGTGGAAATGAACTGTGAGCCACATACCTAAAACCCTCTAGATTTAAAGGTTTGTTGTGCAAAGAATCAGAAGACATTAATCACAGGAGTTTTTCAGAAATATTCAATTAGCACAGCCAGATTTAAGATCCATGTAGTGTATTTGATTTGCTTTAGTTGGTTGGAATCAGCCTTATGTTCTAGAAACATCATGGCAAATCGACATAGAATAATTTTTATTCCACTATCTTGTTCTCACTGTAACATGATTTGAAGGAAATCCTGCCCTATTCAGCAATAACAGGCTTCCCAGTGAACCTCTTATATCTAACCCTCATGCTTCTCATCTCCCAATGAATGTGTCAGATACTTGAGCACTGGTGTGTCATACTTGAGCACTGATGTGGTGCCTGGTGCTGCTGACTTCCACGGATGACCCTGTGAACAGCTCCTTCGCTCCTCTCTCAGGAGCTTGCTCAGATCACTGCCTATAATTAATGTTAAATAGGCCACCTCCAAGATAAATCAGACTTTTTGTATGAAGTGTTGTTATCTAATCTTATAACACAAAGACAAATCAGATATCAAATAATAGTGTGTTATTATTATTCAAAAGTTAAGTTTGAAATTTGAAAATAAATATGCATGGTACAAGTTATATGATTTTTTCCTCCTGTTACTGTGTCTTTTGTATTTGAAGTTGCTCATTGACATGGGATCCATGACAGATTTTAGATTTGTAGGGTGAAAAATAACTTTATCTCCAAACCAGTATAAGTTATGGCAGCTTGATTGTGAAGTTAAACCTTAAGGTATCCTGGATGTGTGGGTAAGTTCACTAGTTTGTCAAAGACTGAAAAACAAATAAATAAAACATTTGCTTTATCCTTATGAAGATGGAGAAGACACAAAACTGTATTTTTCCAAACTCAATAACTATGCCTCTTCGTAGATTTCTTAAATCCTTGGATATATTGCTGAATTTCGTAAAAAGGGACTCTTTATTCTTTACCATCAATAGCAGAGGGTTTATTTATGATTGGACGATTTTTGTTTCTTGGCAGCGTGGGGAGACGGCACTGCACATGGCAGCCCGGGCAGGGCAGGTGGAAGTGGTCCGATGCCTCCTGAGAAATGGTGCCCTTGTCGATGCCAGAGCCAGGGTAGGTTCTGGGGCTCCCAGGTTCTCTCCTATTGCAGTGCATGGTCTCATCTTTAAGAGATGCGTATTCTTCAGTTCCTTGGTTTGGAAATGCCATAGGACCTAAGTGAATGCATCAGTAAAATGACAACATTTTCAGGCCAAAAAAAAAAGTGACACACAATATATAAGTATGAACAATGAAAAATGAACCCCAGTTTCAGAAACATTTGAAAATATATACAATTTGGCATCAAAGACATGCATCATTGACTTAAATCTTAATATAATTGTTTAATCCAGGACAGTACACACATCTTTTTATTGTCATGAACATAAAAACCTTATACTTGCATTATATAGATGTTATACATATTAAAATTAATTTCTTACTACCAACACCAAAAACAATGTTTTATAGTCATTCCTTTCAAGTTAATTAAAAATCAAAATACCAGATTAAAAAAAAGAGAAAACACAAATTATCTTCAAAATCTTAATATTTCTATTTTAACTGTTTCTCTTTCCTTTCTTTTATATTGAGGTCTACTTTCCTTTCCACTCTGGACTTTATACATTTAGATGTTCTACATTATCGCTATTTCAGAATAGAAGAATTTGGGCACTGGAGATTACTTGATAAGACTTGATCTGTTTCTAATGACTTCAATTTCCTCATGGGTTGATTTTACCTTCTTTTTTTTTTTTTTTTAATTTTATTTCCCAATTTCTTTTCCCACCTTCTCTCTTTCTGCTGAACACACTAGTAATGTCTCTCTATTTCCCTTTCCACATTGTTCCATTAACTTTTGCACTACCATCATTGAGATCCTTATGGACTACTTAAACACTTTCTCTCCTTACCCAACACTGGAAACCTAAGTTAGGATTCACTTTAGCTTGATTCATACCATTGAGGCCCCATTTAAGAAGCCATTGTCTTGGAATGAAAACATCTGGCGGGAGTCATCAGAATTTTCAGGGATGTTAGTTAAGTCACTTCATTTCTGTCTTTATCATTAAAATATGAAGACTGGACTCAGAAACCTCTAGTCTGCTTTCCAGACTTCCTCAGCATTCTCTGACTCAGTGACTTTAATAGGCTTTTGCTTATAACAGGTCCCATGGATCACCATGCAGAATTCAGTGGTATCCACACAGCCTTGACATCACTTAAGTCGTTTTAGGTTTTATCTGACTTTCTACTCATTATGCAAGTAGTGTAACTTATATGTTCATTGATAACAATCATGGACATTTCATGTTTTTACATTTTTAAAGCTTTTGTTATTCAATGTTTCCCCATGCCACAACATTTTTCTCATTTCCTTTTAAGGTCACCTGGCATTCTACTATTTAAAAAATATTTCTGTTGTCAGAATATTTCTGAGTACCATGAACTTCACTTTTTTTTTAGAATCAGAGATGGTCATAATGTTCTCACTGTATTTTTGTAATCCATGAGTGCATTGCAATTCTTATTACATATATACAGTACAATTTTTCATATCTCTGGTTGTATATAAAGTATATTCACATCAATTCATATCTTCATGCATGTACTTTGGGTAATGATCCCCATCACATTCCACTATCCTTGCTAATTCTCTGCCCCATCCATATTTAATAATAAAAATTTCCAATTTTCCTTTTAAAATAAAACACCTTAGAATTTTTCTAATATTCAAAATTTTTAAATAATTTATTCATTTTCATGTTTTTAAGCCTATTTTCTACATTGATTTAACCTATCATTATAGGCATATACCCTTTGGATACCATCTGAAACCCCTTCTTTAAAAACACCACTGGCTACATATTCTTTCCTTTGAACTAGTGTAACAATCACTCATTTATGTATTTATTTATTTATTTGACATGCAGGCTCTCTTTTACAACTACTTTTAGTCTTGTAGGCTTTCTATAAAAACAAATATCTCTTAATTCTTCATTCCTTCTAATTTATTATTATTATTATCATTATCATTATCATTATTATTGTACAAGGATTAAACCCAGTAGCACTCAACCATTGGGCCTTATCCCCAACCTTATTTTAATTTTGTGACAGCATCTCATTAAATTGCTTAGTGCCTTGCTAAATTCCTGAGGCTGACTTTGAACTTGTGATCTTTTTGCCTCAGCCTCCTGAGCCCATGAGATTACAGGCGCCACCATGCCCAGCTATCCCTTCTAATTTAAATATTAAATTTCATATGTTTTCTTTTCTCTTTACCCTTCCACTTACTCTAAAATGCAGCTGAAATCCCTTCAGAATAGCATCCTTCTATTAGGAACAGGAAAAACACTATGCTTTATAGAGCAGTTTTCTCCAAAGGCCAATGTGCATAAAAATCACCTGGGGCACATTGTTAATTGGAGATTTGAACTCAGTTCTACATTTCTAACTCACAGGTGATGTCATTTCTCCTGTTCTGGGATTATACTCTGAGAAGCAAGGAACTAGAGTTTTCATGTGTTCTATTTTTAGTGGGGGCAGGGTTCTGGGGATTGAACTCCTAAGTGATTTACCACTGATATTCACATGTTCTATTTTAAGGCAAACTTTGCCATGAGTTTTTTAATTTAATCCTTTAAGGTTTCCCTGAAACTCTTTAATTTTGTTAACATTTTTGCAGTGCTTTATAATTCATGAAGGATTTGTAACAAATTATCTTATTTAACACACAGAGCAGCATTGTTGCAGGGTGGTTTGGGGTCCTCAAATTGAACATAGTGCTGACTTGGCTGTGGCCGCAATTAGGATAAAGAGGATTTCTCTTGTGGTTCTGCATCTTCCTCCTAACTTTGCCTAGAGGAATTAATTCCCTCACCATAAAGCATCATTGCAAGGCAGCCTGGACAAGGAAGTAGCTGAGCTCTAATCTACTTGATTTCTTTACCTCCTGTTTCAATGTAAAGAGAGCTTTCCTCTGTCTCACCCAAACAAATCGCTGGTTTCTTATTAGTCACATCCCCTTCCTGAGCAGGTGGCTGTGTCCAGGACACAGAGCAAGCCTGGGCCCATTCCCATTCACATGGCCCATTCATGAGTTGGGATAAATGCTCTAGAATCTCTAGATAAATCCTCTAGAGCCACATGTAGTGCAAAAGAAGGAGGGCTATTCTCAGAAAGAGGTGCAGGGGTACTGGACAAAAAAAAAAATGAATACATATCTGCTGTTTTACTTGGTTTCCCCTGAAAACTTCCTTTCTTAACCTCTATATCATTGCTTTAGAACTCACCCTCTCCCAAATAGGAGATTAAAAAATTAGTTTTACATTAAACTTAAAGATAAGATCTCTGGGTCACTTGTCATTCTTCTCAACCGAGTTTTGAAATAAATACCTCATGGTTTTATAACTCAGGACTAAATCGTAAATTTTTTGCCTACTGCCAATGTATAACAAAAAAAACCCCTGCATAATCACAATAATATTTCTAACTTTAAACTGCAAGCAGCATACTCTATTTAGTCAAGGGCATGGGACATATTTTTGCTGGACAGAGTGGACAGCAGGGGCTACAGTGGCATAAGTTCCTTGGTCAACCAATCTGTGGACCTTATCTGAGAAAGGTACTTCTTGTTCAGGATTCACAAGAGAAATGACCAGGAGGACCACCAGGTCCAAGTTCTCTTGCTTTAGGAACTTATTCTGTTGGGGCTCAAGTTTTGCTTTAGGGATCCAGTGATCACAGAGACTTAACCTCACTTGCAACTTAACTCATTCAAAACTTTAAATAGCTACCAGTAGACTTGGTTCCTGGGTACCCTGTTACCTGGTAACTAATAGCAGAAATATCATCAATATTTTCTATTTATTTTTTTATTTTTTGGCACCAGGGATTGAACCTAACAGCATTTGATCACTGAGTCACATATGCAGCTTTTTTATTTTTTATTTTGAGACAGGATCTTGCTAAGTTTCTTGAGGTCTCACCAAGTTGCTTAGAGCCTCACTAAGTTGCTGAGGCTGGCTCTGAACTTCCAATCCTTCTGCCTCCACCTCCTGAGCAGCTGGGATTAAAGATGTGTGTCACTGTGCCTGGCTCATCAATTTTTTTTATAACCATGTACCAGAAATTGTTATTTCTGTCTTTGCAAAAGAAGCTGGAGCTCAGCAAGTCTTCCTAATTTTGGTTGCCTCTAAGCCAAGTAAAACAGTAGGCTCTGGAGGTCAAGCAGGGTTCACCTACTTCCTTGACCAGGCTGTATCACAGTCAGTGATACTTTATAATGAATAATTGTTGCCTTTCCTAGGGTACCAGGCTCCCCCCAACCCCCTCCATAGCTTTACCTCTTCCTACCAGTCTTCTGCACTTTTCCAGTTCTTTTCCTTGGCTTTATTTAATTTTAGTTTGAAGCAGCTAATTCTGCATTTGCTATTCCACAGAGAGATAACTGCCCAAACTTGAAAAGGTCTGATATCCTGGTTACAGGTTGCAGGATTTTCTTAGCAAAATCTTTGTGTCCTTTCCTTTCCCATTTTCTTATAGGACTATATCAAAAATTTTAAAAAGTGGGCAAGACAGCTTATTTCTTAACTGAAAAAGCAAACAAAACAACAAAAACCTTAATCCTCAGAGCAGAAATAGTTGAGCATTTACCTGTTATCCGTAGCTACCGCCAGTCAAGGGTCAAGGATTGCCACTTCTTATCCATAGATGAGAGCTGTCATCACCTGCCTGCCAAACACACTCATTGAAAAACACTTTTGAGAGTGTGTTGCTCCTATACCCAGCTCTGTCGAGTTCTGTAGGTTGGAGGTCTGAGAAGGGAAACCCATCAACAGCGAATGTTCACTGTAGCTATTCTCAAGTTCCTTGATTTTTTTGGTGGTTGTATGTTTTGCTAACCACTTATTTTTGTAAATGTTCAACTCTTCATTCCTATTGAGAGTCAATCTTTCTTTTTTTTTGGTATTGGAGATTGAAACCAGGGGTGCTTACCCACTGAGCAACATTCCCAGCCTTTTAAATTTCTTTCTTTCTTTCTTTCTTTCTCTCTTTCTTTCTTTTTTTTTTTTTTTGAGACAGAGTTTGGTTATTACTTTGCTTATGTCCTCACTAAGTTGCTGAGACTGACCTTGAATTTGTCATCCTCCTGTTTCAGCCTCCCAAGACACTGTGATAACAGCTGAGATTCGTTCTTCATGCATCTTATTTTATCTATTTCTGTAGAATATGTAGCCAAGAAACATTATCTCAAGAATTCAGTGCCTTCCTTTGAGTTTAATAGTTTAATGACCTTATGTAATCCTTGAGAACTTATTAAATTCCTTTTATTCTCTTCATCTGGAAAATGGTTTAATAATATATTCTATGCCTTCCTTTCAGGTCTGTTACAAGGATAAGTCACATGTGCCTTGTACATAAAGGAAATTTATAAACTGCAAATTTTTTATGAAACCCCAGTTCTAATACTGAAATAATCATTACTATTATTTATTATTTACTTCTGAATAATAATTACTGTAACTTATTATTTACTTCTGAATGAGAAGTAAATAACACTAATATGATTATTTCAATATTAGAAGCAATGCAATTTCATCTTTTCCTATAGTTTCTTTTTTTTTTATTTTTCCTCATGACTTTAAGGTACTGTATTCCTTTAGACATATCTATCATAACTTTTCTCCACTCATTCTTAGCCCTGGAAGCTGGCCCAGTTTTTTATTCTTCAGTTTTATTATGAGATTCCCTGGAAAGATTATAAAGATAAACCCTCTTTCATCACTAAGGTTACACCCAATTTTCTTTTTACATGGGACAGTGGTTTGGTCTAGTTCTCTGAGCTCTGAAAACTTGATTCCTGACTGCACATTAGAGACAGGCAAATTCATGATCCTTAAATATGTCCTTCCGCTCATTTATACCCAGCTATATCATCTCTCTGTTTTTAAAATAAAGCATTTGACTAATCGTTCATTCCATTTGCTTTTTGCCAGAGTTCCATTTCATCTTTGAAGTCCTGGATGTAAATCCCAGGCCCATCTTCAACATTTCTGTAACAAAATCTCTTTAAATCAGATTACAATATCTTCTTTATCCACAGTTCCTCTTTGAAGGAAATGACCAGCATCTGTGTCCTTGGCTTGTGGGTGAAGTGAGCACAAAGTTTTCCAGCTTCTCTGGGTCTTTTTTCTCTTGACACAGTTCCCAGAATTAATTTTGCCTCTAATTGAAAGCTCTTAGAGGTGAATCTAGGTCTTAGGACGTCTGAATTCACTTTCTTTCTTCTTCAAAACCATGGTTTTGTATTTAAACATAAGTGAGGACTAAAGCTTTATTGAATTTAGAAATATTTGGGGGTGCCCAGCAGATTGTGAACAAGTTCATGAAAGTATGTACTATTTAAAATCTAAGGAATAGGGGCTGGGGTGTGACTCAGTAGTGGAACACTTGCCTAGCATGCATGAGGCACTGTGTTCGATTCTCAGCATCACATATAAAATAAAATAAATAAAATAAAGGTCCATCAACAACTAAAAAATTTTTTTAAAAATCTAAGAGATATTTTTTAGTTCAACTAGGTCATTTGATAGTAAAAATACAAATGAAAGCGTGGTTCTAGTAGTGATGATTTTCTTCTTGAGAGGTCAGTGGAGATTCCAAGAAACATCTGAGTGAAACATGAAACCTCTGAGTGAAACATAATATCAATGAAGTTTGGTGTGCCTGCACTAACATTTTGCTTGACTTGAGTTGTAGGAGGAACAGACACCTTTACATATTGCTTCTCGCCTGGGTAAGACAGAAATTGTCCAGCTGCTTCTGCAACATATGGCTCATCCAGATGCGGCCACTACCAATGGGTACACGCCACTGCACATCTCTGCCCGGGAAGGCCAGGTGGATGTGGCATCAGTCCTCTTGGAGGCAGGAGCAGTACACTCCTTAGCTACCAAGGTAAGAAGAATGCCTTAATAACAGTAGGACCAAGAGAACTCCTAAGTCAGGATCCCTCTGCTCTGCTATACATAGAATCATGGACAAATCTCTGTTAGGTCTCTGACTTACTTCCTCCTCTGAATATTTTAGATTCATTGTCAAAATGATCAAAGATGGTAAGATTTTTATATAATATTTTTTAAAAGAGTGCTGGATTCTGTTTTATCATTTCCTTAATGCAAAATCTACTTTTCCTTCCCTTTGCACTATAAAATCTATAATATATTCTCAAGAGGAAAAAAAAAGATAAGATTCCCAAATACATTGAATTGGTATTACTAATGAGGAAGAAAATGTCAAATTAGATTGAAAGTACATTTATGGGTTGTAGTACTACGTAGGACTTCCCTTGATTAACTTGCATTAACTTGCATTTTCCCAGTCCTGGGATGAGCCACCACCTATTTTGTATCTCATTCCTTTTCTAGTCTCTACCGACTGTACTTTTGTCTGAGTATTAATGGGCTCAAAAATCATACTTTATGATTTGTTGTTGACATTAAACAAAGAATATACACGAGCCTGAATTTTACTTGTACTCAAAATTTCGTGATAGGATAATTTTTCCTTTTCTTTTTGCATTCTATTTGAAATTCACTATTTGGAGGTAACTTAGGGTGAAACACAAACACACCCAGTTAATTAGAACAAAAGACTTTGAGAAAGTCTAGAATAAGTGAATTTGTCACAGGGCTAAATAATTTCCACAAGCACAACTGTAATTCATATTAATTTTAACAATCTCAATTTGTTTATAATAAATAGGAATAAATACTGCCAACTGGGATGAAAAAGGCTTACAAGTATGAGCTGAGGCAGGGAGGTGGCCCTCAAAAGAGGAAACTGATCACTTGTGCCTTTAGGACTTAACTGGTGGCCCATGGCTATAAAAATGTTTGCATATAAGAAATTGATCATTATTTAAATTCTGACATCTGAACAATTGAAAGGACTTTAAAAAATCTTTAAAGAGAAAAAAAAACCCAGAAATTCAGAAACTAAGCAAGAAACATATAATAATAGTTATTATAACTCAAGGGAGACTGGATGATTGTCTTATAGGTGAAGAAGGTATAAATAAATAGAACTAAGATATGTGAAAATATAGAAATGCAGGAGAGTCCCTTGTATTTCAAGGATTATTATTATTTTTAATTTTAAAACATATGCTAAATCCATACTCAATCAGGATGGTAAAATTGGAGGAACTATTAACCAGGGCAGTTTAACAGTGCAACTGAAGGTTGAACATAGGTGACTCCTCATCATTAAAGCCATGTAAGTGTTTATAAATAAGGGAGGGTAGATGGAATCCTGATGAGGTTGACATGGGTGAGAAAGGGCTGGGTGACGAAGAGGTGCTTTCTAACCCCGACACTGTGATTCTATAATAATGATTCCAAGTGGTTTCATCTAATGAGAGTCTCCAAATTTATAAAGGGATTGCATCACTACCCAGAAGGATAAGGAGTTTATTTTTTCTTCTTCCTTCATGGTTTGCCTCAAAAAAAAAAAAAAAAAAAAAACTCACCTTCCTCCCAAAAGAGAGTCACCCCAAGCACTGTGTGCACTGGGCCTGGGCGGCAGAGCTTTTGACAGTGAATGTGGATTTGTATGGACAAATGCCAGAAGGAAGAAATATTTCCTACATTTGTCCTACTCTTGGAAAAACCCAGAAGATTCACTTTCTCCCAAGAACTTATTAGTACCAAATGTTAAAAAACAAAACAAAAAGAAAAAAAAAAAAGAAAGTCATCTTAATTAAAAATAATTGGTCTGGTGATACTGTGAAATGGTAATATTGATTTTGGGGGGATATTTGGTGTTTAGGGCTTGAATAGTCTGAGAATAAACCATGTCATAGAACACCTACTACAGGCATATTTGCTGTGTGTGTTTCAGGGTTTCTGGTCAGTGTTAGAATCTTTTTCCCACTCCCCCTGGGGTGCCAGAAGAGCATGTGGTTGAAGTGTCTGGCCAAGAGAATGGATTTGAGATCATAGTGCATGAGCTATGTCATCCTCAAGATTCTCATCCAGGAACTTATCAATATTTATAAATACTGCTAATTACAGAACATGGCTATTTGTTGAACACAGAAGCCGTATGTACATGTATGTATTAGCATGTACATATAAATGTGCAAGACAGCTATCTTTTAAAAAAGCTTCAAAGCTCCAGTGTGTCTCAAAGCCTGGTGTTAATCAGCCCAACATCATACCAGAAGTAGAATGTGTTTTACAAGACAAATTGGTCTTTTAGACAGTGTGGGTCTTCTGGGACAGGAAACAAAAATCAGGATGTGAGGAGCTTTTTAATAGTGAGAATTTTTTTTTCTGCAAACCATTTATCTTGCATTTATATTTCTACAGCAAATACGTCAAACTGAATCTCAAATAATTATTCATTTTTTCCATAACCCCCAAAATATCCTAAAACTTAAATAAATTGGGAACTAAGGTGTTATAAAAAGGATTGTAAGAAATAGAAGGCAGCTGTTGTTTCAATCCTATTAATTTTAGAGGCCAGAAAAAAGACAGGCCTTGTTTTTCCACTCACAAATCACAGCCAGTTTCCTGACACTAGTGGTTATTGCAAATCCCAAACCTATAAAGTGAAATTTCAGTCTCCAAGCACTTAAAATAAAATTTTCTTTTGTCTTGCCTATTAAACCAAACCTTTAAATGTTAAATGTCATTCTTTTTTCTTGTCCTTGTTTATGACTAACTGATTTTATTCCATTTTTCCCAAATGGAGAAGGAGCAAAACTTGTTTAGTATATTAATAAATAAAGATCTTGATAGGTGTTAGAAAAATAAATATTAAATTTTGCATTTCTTCTTCACATTTTCAGAAGGGTTTTACTCCCCTGCACGTAGCAGCCAAGTATGGAAGCCTGGATGTGGCAAAACTTCTCTTGCAACGTCGTGCTGCTGCAGATTCTGCAGGGAAGGTAAAGGTTTTCAGTAGTATGTTTTAATTGTGAAAATCTCTTGGGTTGATAAATCTGGAGATCTGTGGAAATATTTTTTCTCAGTGTTCAGAAAGGAATGTGATTCCAACTGCTGCAACTATGCCAAGTACATGGTGTGGATTATCTGTTCATGATTTTCCTCGTACACACAGATTCAGAAAATGTTTTGAGCTGAGCCTCTAGTGTGTGTTCTCGTCACGACAGGGCCCACAACTTCTCTATGTTGAGAAGAACCCCTGTGATGTCAATGTGGCATTTCTTACATAGCATTTGAGTTCTTCATTTGTTGTGACCATTGAGATGCCCTTTGCTATTTGTAAGCCCATTTTCAATTTTAGTTATATGTCTAATTTGAAATTTATTATGTATTTGTTTATTTATTTGGTTCTTTTCTATTGACTATATTAATTAATTAACACAGACTTAATCAACATCAATTTCCATGCATCCTAGTAGCTTCAGGGCAGCTAATGCTAATTTCTTAACGCTGACACTTAAACACACCCTTTTCAGAATGGCCTTACCCCGCTCCATGTTGCTGCTCACTATGACAACCAGAAGGTGGCGCTGCTGTTACTGGAGAAGGGTGCTTCCCCTCATGCCACTGCCAAGGTGAGGACTACAGGAAAGGATTTACAGACACAGGGCATAGCTGTAATCTGAAAGCGCATGGGAATTGCTTTTTAAACACATGGTATTGTATCATTGCAACTAGCTAATAATAGTAGCGTTTGTTATCGACATTTTTTCCCTTCTATTTCTACCAGTTGCTTCTACAAAACCTTTTAACTGTTAGAGTCAGCAAACATTAAAGCGAAGGGCCCATAAACCAGTAGACATGAATCTTATTTCCAGGAGTCAGTTTTGAATACTGACATCTGAATTTTTAGAAACGAAACAGGATAAAGGCATGACACATTTTTTCCTTCTTTCCTATAAAACATAATATGATACAACCATCATTTTATACTTCTATGCCTGCAGAGACCTCGTTGTGCTGTGTGAAGAACTCTTGTTTTCTTGGTCTCTTAAAATGATTCAACCACGTTCACTGTAGTGTGGATCCTTTTAGGTCCCTAGACTAGCAATGACAGTCTAGACTACAAAAACAGCTCCAGCTGAGTCCAATACCTATGGACTAGGCATTTCCACACTGGAATTGTCCTTTGTTATAGAATGAAAATATACATGAAAGTCACACAATACATATAGCCATCAGTATATCTTTCATTTGTTTATTTAGCAAACATATTTTAAAAGAAAAAAAATATTTGTTGTGTAGGAAAATATCCATGCCACATTAGAAGAAATAATAAGACAATAATTAGCATGTCTATGACACTGTACCTAGTCCTTTACATTCAGGATCTCATTTAATTTCATAGTAATCCTAAATTGATATTATAGTGATACCCATTCTACACCTAAGAAAGTGAGATTTAAATAGTTTGGTTTTTCCAAAGTCACATAAATAGTCGGTGCTAGAGCTATCCTCAGGCTAACTGACAGAGCTGTCACTCTTCACCACAAGGTCCATTGTGTCCCAAAGCATTGGAGGAAGATTTCTTCCACTGTCACTTTACAAATATGTACGTGTATACTCTCATGTCTATTTAAATGGTACATATTATATATAAGTAATAAAATGGAATACTATGTATATAAGTATATTCTACAAAATACCAGACATTTTGTATATAAATGTTCCCTCTACAAACTCTTACAACTTACATAACTTTATACACACACACACACACACACACACACACACACACACATATGTATATATCTTTCCATGATTTCATTATAATTTCCCCTGCCCCTAAAGCACAGTTCCTTAATCCTGCAAACTCCCTTTTTCTTTCTGTTAGAATCCAGTACCTTCCCTGGGAGTAAAGTAGGATTGGGTGAGAGGAGTTTCAGTTACTTAGTTCCGAAAATGTTAATTTACTCTTTTTGGAGTAGAGGACTCTTCAGGTCTTCAGGTTGAGTATCTATCAGACAGTCAGACCTCTTACATTGCCAAAATCAACTCTGTCTTCAGTGATCTCATGTCTTGTTTTGTTAAAACATCTTTGTCTTCTTCTACATCAGTCTCATTAACAAATGCCCTGGTACTTTCCTACCTCGGTAGAGCTTATGCTGCAGGAATGGGGGAAGTTGGGACTGAAAAAGCTCTTTGTAGCAAAAAGGAGATGCCTTAAATTTATATGGTCCACAAAAAAATCTGTGGTATTCAGTCGAGCCCCTGGAGCCAAGTGTGATATTGTGAAGCAACTGGGGTACCTGGGACCTATGATCAGCACCTGAAAAGATTTTCAAGGATAGTGTCTGGATTTCCTTCAGCAGCTGAAAAAGAAATATTATTTATTAAAAAAAAGGTGCTTATTTTTGCTTGGGAAATGGGAATAGTGAAGATACTATAGGGCTGTTTGAAGATGGAGATTTGATGATGGCACAGAAAGACACTTAAATTCTCAAATCTGCTTTTCATGTTTTGGTACATATTTGAGGAAATACCATATCCTAAAAATACCTCTTAAGGTAGTCTCACAAGGAGCACTCCATCAGTATGCCACCTGTTCCTTCAGTATGTCACAGTTAATGGCAAAACCACTGCTTTTCATCTTTATCACACATTTTTTTCATGGAAAATTTTACCAAGTTTGATAATGGTAAGGGAAGAAGACAATACATGTTCCAGAAATGCACTAGTTCCAGTGATTTTGCTTTTTATTTTCTTTTGACTAAGTATGAGGATTAGTATTTGGTTCTTCAATCCACAAATTCCCACATTAAGCAAATAGCCTCATGTTTCTACTTTTGAGGCAGAAGGAGAAGAAGGGGAGATACTGGATTTAAAGTGACCCCAGGATTAATATAAGCCTATTTTGTTGGTTAATATCTTTTTCCATTAGAATGCAACCTCTTAGAGGCAGAGAACATGCCATGTGCACCTCTGTGTCCCTTCATTCTGCCTGGCATCTGTTTGGTACACTTGCTGAATGTGCAAGAGGTACAATCCAATCAGAAACATGTTAGTAGGCGATCAGAAACAATCCCATTTTATTCTGTATGATTAAGACTATGTCTGAAGGGTAGCATTCACTTCCAGCTAACTTGACTCAAGAGCAACATTGACAAACTCTAGTCAGCTCCAGACAGTTCATCCTTGGTGGAGAGAGGTCTCAAAAGGATGTCTTCTATCAGGAATAGTGAAGGAATAGGAAGTTTAGCTGGAAAAGAGAATCTAATAGGAGATATGAAATGCACCCTAGGGCCAGGTGTGGTGGTGCATGCCTGTAATCCCAGGAGTTCCAGAGGCTGAGGCAGGAGGATAGCAAGTTCAAAGGCAGCCTCAGCAACTGAGCAAGGCCCTAAGCAACTTAGTGAGACCCTGTCTCTAAGAAAAATATAAAAAGGGCTGGGGACATGGTTTGGTGGTTAAGCATCCCTGAATTCAATCCCTATACCATAAAAGAAAGAAAGAAATCCACCTCAGGTACTTAAAAGACAGTCATGTAGAAAAGGTGTTGACTTATTTTCTCCACTGTTCAGGAGAGAATCAATATTATAAGGGGGAGATGTTTAGCTTTAGGATTTTTGTGTCTGAATCTGTATTATAGTGTAATGTGGCACTTTTTTACTTTGGTTGCAAATATTGGTTGTGGTTGGATGGAAACTTGTGGTGGGTTAGAGTTTGGATTAACTGTCAGCTCACTTTTAACTTTTTTGTTGATTACAGATTCTTATTTCCTTCAGAGATACCTATAAGGTCAATGATTAAGCTTACTATATATATATATATGTTTTTGTTTTAGAATGGCTACACCCCTTTACATATTGCTGCAAAGAAGAATCAGATGCAGATAGCTTCCACACTCCTCAACTATGGAGCAGAGACTAACATTGTGACAAAGCAAGGAGTAACTCCACTCCATCTGGCCTCACAGGAGGGGCACACGGATATGGTCACCTTACTTCTCGAAAAGGGAGCCAATATCCACATGTCAACCAAGGTATTCTGATCTTGTCTCTTCTTGCATCAATCAAGAGACGCTTGGATGGCTGTAAACAAAAACCCATCAAAGATAACTTGGAACAAAAAGGGGAATGTATCAAAAGGAAAAAAGGATATATTACAGACCCCAAGGATACAAGGGAGACAAGCTTTATGAGGAACTAGAAAGCCATGAGAAACAAAGCAGTTGGTCTCAGATTCTCTGCTTGTGTGACTGCATTTTGCACCTTGAATTTTCTCTGAAAGTCAGTTTTATTCACCTCTTCCTATAGTATGATCTGCTTCCTTACCTTCTCTGTGTAGTGCCTGAATAGGCTATGCCATAGCTCCCCAGAGTTCATATTACTGTAGTTCAAAGAGTTAGCCCAAATTACTCTAGTTGGTGCTGGTTCTAATTCCAAATCCGAGAAAAGAGGAGCTGTTAGGGAGGAATGGAGAGAGATGGTGGTTCCATTTGGAATTTGGCTCAAATAATTGCATGTATGCTGGCCAGCCCGCATCTACCATTGAGGTTATCTTTCAGCACAAATGCCAGTCACCTCTGGGGTGGTGGTAGTGGTGGTGGTGGGAAATTCATTGTTATTTTTAATTTACAATAATGATAAATATGTATCTGAAATCAGTTCCCTATGTCTGCCTTGATGGTGTTCTTTCAAATGTATGGTATTCTTTCAAAACTCTCCTTTGGGAGAGTTTTAGCAGTCCCTCAGCTAAGATAGAATGAGTATTTTTGAATTACACTCTCAGCAATGAAAAAGAAATATTCAATTTTGAATCACAAAATAACTATATTATCTTTATAAAAATGATTTCAGTGTTGTATTTGAGTGATGTTCTAAAGATAAAGCCATGCTGGGTGTGGTGGTGCATAACTGTAATCCTAGCAGCTTGGGAGGCTGAGTCAGGAATATCACAAGTTCAAAGCCAGCTTCAATAACTTATTTAGGCTCTAAGCCACTCAGCAATCTAAGAAAATATAATAAAGGGCTGGCTCAGTGGTTCAACCTCAGTACCAAAAGAAGAAGAAGAAGGAGGAGGAGGAGGAGGGGGAGGGAAAGAAGGATAAAACCATGATGTATTTATCACTAAAGTAAAATTTTCCTACACATGATATTTCAATATATTGGAATGATAATATAATATATAAACTCTCTGTGTAAGAAGTATAACCTTGCCTTTTAGTTGGTATTGTAGTAAGATAATGCAATTATAAAAATACTTCAGATAAGAAGCAAAACCAACAACAAATTTTCCCATTGATTTTGAAACCATCTACAATCAATACTCTCATCCCCTCCAAATCATTATTTCTCAGTAAGAACTGTAATATGGAAATGATAATATATTCCTTAACCAATCACCATATAATAATAAAACACTTATAGGTCCACTAAGTATATTTAGGCAATACCTGACTTTTTTTTTTTTTAAAAAAAGAACCCCATCAACATCTTATAGTTTTTTTGATTTGTTAGGAAAGTTTCTATAATTTGATTTGGATATGCACATTTATCATAAACCACAGAAGATTTCATACTGGTTGTTAGTTTGTAATCTTGTACAAAATTAATTCTGCAAGTAGAGTAGAAAACATTACAGATATTTGACATGTCACTAAAAATGTCTTCGAGCTAATTGATGATCATTTTATTTAATGATCACTTCTATAATTTCTTTTTAGAGATGTCAGAACAGAATTTTTATTGCTCATTTCCAATAGATACTTGGTAGATTTAGTCTGACCTAATGAATAGGAGTGATATCCACATTTGTTTTAGTATGTTTTCCTGGGAATCTATTGCAAAAAATTCCAGAAAAATCTAATCAAAAGCTGCTTTTGTCATTTCAAAAGATACTCTTTATTATAAAACATAGGCAGTAATTTTTAAAAATGAATATTTTATCTATACCTATCTATAATAATTTTAAGGATCAATCCATAAAATCTAAGTATCTGAAATAAAGATAGTTTGAATTTTGATCAAAGAGTGCCTGGTACAGATCACTGATGTTCAGCTCCAGATTTATATTCATCTTTCTGTGTCAATATTGAGACAGACCTACTATCTCTGTAAAAAGAAATAATCTTCTATTTGCTGTTTTGAGGTAGAGAAATCAAAGTAAGGAAGAACCTGGTATTTTGTTTTAATATTCAGATTTCTTACACTTTAGGATTAAATAATATTTGTTTAGATGTGATGAGATTTTAGTGCAAAAGGATGTCTTCTATCTTACCTGATGTTTTATTCACCTCAAAGCTGAGCTCAGCCATGGTTCTAAGGATTAAAAATCCCAGATCCTGAAATAAAAAACACCTTCTCTCCACTTGTAGAATGTTTTTCTCTTTGTAGGTATTACTGATATATTTTTTTTAAGATCAGAGCACTTATTGATTTCTAGAAGTAGCACCTTGGCTGTAGATCATGGGTTTTCTTTTTTTCTTTTTAGTTTAGTTAAGCATTGGAATTTATTTTATTTTTTATCAATTCCTTTTTTAAAAAAATTATTTATTTTAATTAGGTATATATGATAGCAGAATGCATTTTGATTCATTATACACAATCGCAGCACAAGAGATCATGGGTTTTCAAGAGTACAGCTTAGCCTTCTTGGCTCATGAAGAGGCCTGCAAGGTGATAGTCAACAGGACCATCTATCTTCAGCTGAATGTGAATTGAGGGTGAGAGAGCCACAGGTAGCTACTCAGTGTACAGCTGTAGGATATGGAGAAAGAGGATGAATATACAAGGTCTTGGAGGAATAGTTGGAGGAGAGAAACATTTGGTATGAATATACTATAAGCTAGAATGTAAGTTCTGTAAAGAGGAGCTTTTGTTCATGGCTATATTCAAATGCCTAAAATAATTCATTATATAGGAAAGGAACTAATAAAAAAACACCTATTAATACAAATGACTTAACTTCTAAAGATATTCTTTTGATCTCAATTTTGCTGAATGGAAGCTGCTTGTATACTGCGAGATGCTCGATGGTTGCACAGCATTGATTGAACAAATCACTTCTTCCTCTCCTTTCTTCATGCCTTCATTTTTGATCAATTTATAACTATTTTTTTAACCTCATCTTCAAATAAACAAAATAATTTCTTTGATTAATACATGTCAAATATTTTTACATAAAACTGAACCATTTATGTTGCTGTGCAAATTATAGTTACATTTTTAAATTTAGTGTCAAGAGGAACTCCAGACACACACACACATACACACACACACACACACACACACACACACACACACACCATTATACTCTCTTTGGGTGCTGGGAAAATTACTCTGAAATCATTTCCTATTATCCTGTACATTTTTTAAACATTGAAATGATATTTTATTGGTGAATATATGATATTTTATTGGTGAAACCAAGGTAAATTATTACATTGCTATGGATATATAACAGCAGTAGTATTTGGTTGATCAATTATTTAAGTAAATAAATAGATTCAGCAGGAACAGTCGGGTTTGGAATGAATATTGTTTGGAGACTTTTAAGGTAAGTTATTTTAAAGTCTTACATCATAAACCCCCAGTATAGAAAATAGAATATGTGGGGTTAGGGTTGTGGTTAAGTGGTAGATCATTTGCCTAGCATTTGTGAGGCACTGGGTGGGTTCAATTCTCAGCCCCATAAATAAATAAATAAACAAACAAATAAATAAATAAATGGTCCATCGACAACCAAAAAAAAATTATGAAAAAAGAAAAGAAAAAGTATAATTTGCTGGAGGTGTTGATTAGCTTAGACAATAAGTCTTGAATGAAAAATTATATTAACTTAAAGTGTTTGTCTTAGATATCAAACACTGCAGTTTCTGGGAAGAAGCTATGCATCTTCCAGGGGTTATAGACAAGACATTGATATAAATGTTGCAATACATTTTCCTCTTCAAATATACTTCTTTCATTCCATTCTCTCCATAGAGTGGACTCACCTCCTTACACCTTGCAGCTCAAGAAGACAAAGTAAATGTTGCTGAAATTCTCACCAAGCATGGGGCTGACCAGGATGCTCATACAAAGGTGAAATTAAAATCACTATCCATCTTGCAACCTGTTCTGACGTGAATGATTTCCAGTAATCTTCAACAGTCCAGCCCCTGTCCAGCTCCTGCCCTACTCCTCATAAGTCCATTCTAAACCTTCAGAACAGATCTATAGTGGTTCCTGGTTTTTGAAGAAATCAAATCCAAATGGATAACATGGTATCCGGGACCCTTCATAAGAAGACTCTAGTTTTGCAGGCTTAAGTCCATCTTCTTCCTTGTTGCCTTAGCTTGTCCAAATGGCTCACTATTTTCCTCCTGTGCTTGCTCACCTCCATGTCCTTGAAATGCATTTCCCTATTTAAACCATTGAATTCTTGCTTTTTCTTTAAGCTCATCTTAGCTTCACCTTCCCTGGGTCTCCTCCTGAATGTCCTATCAAAGTCACCCTTTCATTTCTGTTTTTAGATGATATCATTTTGTGCATCTCTCTTAGCTTCTTTTCAAATTAAATCACACAAGTCTGATCTGCCTTGCTGATATAAAGTTCCCTGTGCTCCGGGGTCTGCTCATAACCATATTGGCACCCACAGGATACATATATAATCTGCTAAATAATATTTATATAATCAAATTGAGTTTCAACCCATCCTATAATAACTGAAATTCTACCTAGTTCCTCTCCTTTTGAGGATTAACCACTAGAGTATTAATGCTTCTACTTTATGATTTATTTCTTATTCACAGCTTGGTTACACTCCTTTAATTGTGGCCTGTCACTATGGAAATGTGAAAATGGTCAACTTTCTCCTGAAGCAGGGAGCAAATGTTAATGCAAAAACCAAGGTAAATTATTGTACACATTTTCCTTTTCTATAAGCAAAAGGGTTCTGCCATCTAGATATTTCACTAGCTACCATAGCTACAAATATGTTTTTTTTTCTTTTCCTTTTTAGTTTTCTTAAAGTGATTTTGAAGAGGCAATGTAGTTTTGTATTTGTTTGAGACTTTTCATTCTAATAACCTTTGACAGCCATGTGGGTTAGCTTCAGAACTGCTTCTATTACAAAGTTAAAGTAGCTGACGCTGCTTTAACAATTTACTGCAGGACACAACAGATGCCTGCTAGGACACCCTGATGTTCAGGCAGATTTTCAGAGCCTTGGCCCCCTTACCCCTAGCTCCTTGTCCACTCATGAAGAAGGGAAGCCAGGCAACCTAGATTGCACGCCTTTCATTTTTAATAAACTCTGTCATTTTGGGAACATTGTGGGGTCATGCTCAGTAGGACAATAATGTGTTAAGCCCTGAGCTGCAAGTTCTCAAGGATAATACAGAGCTGACTTGAACCAACAGCTTTCCCCAGAGGAATTTGAATGCTCCTATGTAACAAAGCAAGGTCAGAACATCACCCCACAATTCAGTTCACTCAACTTGATTGAAGTTGTAGAGAAATCCACGATATAAGCACTGCTGTTATGCATAATGTAACTTGCATCTCCAGGTCCTTTGGTCCAAAGGAATATCTGCATGATGTTGTTGTAAGTTCACATATCAGAAATTCCTAATTGCAGCTCAAGTAAATTACTGTGAGCACATTTAGAAGTTTTCAAAGCCATCATTCAAGATGCTACTAATTAGAAATACATAAAAATTTTGTAAGTCAGTGTTTCTTTTCATATCCTCTCAGAAGCAGAAACAAAATCATGTCTGTACATAAGCATATTATAGCTAATTTTAAACAAATTTAATTTTGTAAACTATAAAGAGTTCTGTAACATTTGAGATTCAAACCTGTAGTCTTGGGTTTGAATAGTTGAAAGTATTCAAATAGTTGAAACTAGCAAGAATAGTTGCAGTCTATTTCCTGACCAATTCTTGAGATTTCATGAAATTTGACTTTGAAACTTATTTAAAAGCTCTCATATGAGTTTTTAGACATTAGCTCCTAGACCATTTTTGCTGAGCTAGTTCACATTTAAGCATTCCAGGAAAGACATTTTTGTTGAAATGAAGATATTTCCCAGAAATGTACAAATGCAACAATTCAATGAAACGATGGCAGGGCTTGAAAATATTTAACATACTTTTTGTTATGTGTTTGGTTGTTGAGGTGGTTCTGACTTTAAAAACAATCATTATATTGTCTAGACAATATCTGTGCCTCCCTGGAATTAGATCTACATCAAATGGACTTTAGATTAAGAGAAAAATCTCATCTTAACCTTTAATTTTTAAAGGTGGACTATGAAATTTTCACTGTTGCTTTGGAACCATATACATCAGGTATTTAGATAGATATATACCTCAAAGTAAATCTTTTAATAAACCCTTCAGAATTTTTTCATATAGAATGATCTCTCTGAAGAGGAAATTACATTTTCTTTCTGACATTTCATGTGTAGCCATAGTTTCTAAAGAATTGTTTTATTTGCTCTTTGAAAGAGCAAAAATATGTATTGCTTTTATTCCCCAACTATTCATAACTTTGTATAAAAGACTTACAAAATTACACTTGCTTTTATGGAAGTATTAGTTGCTTAAAATTAGAATTAGAAGCCCTATCGCATTGGCTTAAGGCAAACCAAACTTGGTTAGTTAACTTGGGAAGAAGGTTTAGAACTACAGCATACTAAAGAATACTTTCTTCATAAAATATAAAATTACTGAACTGTTATTTTCAGTTTCATTATCTTTGAAATGAGTAGAAACATCTACTTATTCAGTCATTTGTTCATCACTCACTTAATCCACCATTATTTATGAAATGCCTACTGTGTCCCACACACCCTCATTTCAGAGTGATAATGAGACAAAACTTTAAGGTCCTGTATCTGGCACAAAATGAATGCTCAATAAATGATAGCTATTTCTGTTGTATTTCCTGAGATTCTAGTGCAGCTTTTAAAATTAATGTGAATAAGTAACTAACCTGTACTACTTAACCACCCACTACAGTTCTGAGCAAGACTGGCCTCAAACCAAACTTAAAAGCAATTCCTCACAAATCCTAGATTACAGAGTTTTCATCTGTGTGAAAGTTTAGACCTGAATATTATAAACCTAATTTTCAAAGACTTTTTGGGGGGTGAGGGTAGGAGGGTGGTTCACTCACCTTCCAATGAAGTGTTATTACCTCCAAGAACATGTGTTCTCTAGCACATCCAAAGCTGTACACTAAAATGAATATGAGACTTGAATTTACTTTTATTGATATAGAATCTCAAATGTTAACCCAAAGGTTCTCTGTCAGGGAAGTCACAAGCAAACAGGGTTTGTGTGACCCTTTGCTGCCTTGGTTTAAAAACAAGTTTACTTTCCTGTTGCCTAAGGGAGAGATCATGGAGACAATGCCCTTTCCTATTTTAAATCTCCTCCCCACCCATTTTTAATGCTAATTGGTTAAAATGTAATAATAGTTATAATTTGGAGTCTGTTTATCTTGTGTTTCATAAGCCTGTCTCTTCTCTTTGTTCGGCAGACCATAAGGTGTGAGGGAGGGTTTGCTGCTGAGAAATAGGTTGCTGGGAATATTGGCTCCAAATAAACAAAGTGTCCTAATAGTTTTGTTGTAAATAAAAATTAAGGCTAACCTACTTTTCTTCTTCCTCTGCAAATGGATGCCATCATTGTCCACAGAATGGCTACACACCTTTGCACCAGGCTGCCCAGCAGGGTCACACGCACATCATTAATGTCCTGCTACAGCATGGAGCCAAGCCCAACGCCACCACTGCGGTAAGACAGGCACCGCTGTCTCTCCCCAAGCTTTCTTCTCCCTACCCTCTTGTCCTGCTGTCCTCGGGTCTGATCTAAGGTCTGATATATCCTCCCTAAATGAGCTCCCAGACTGTGGAAAGTCCCAGATTGCTAGAAAACCTTTCCCAGAAATCAGTGTGACTTCCTGGGAGTGCTGGTCCCAGGAGGGAAACGAGTTTGGCCAGACTCAGTTGACTCTCTGGAGAGTGGGGCCCTCCTCTTGGGCTGCAGGAAGGACTCTGCTTACAGCTGGCTCTCAGATGTGTGAGCAAATCATCCCCTCCCTCTCTGCCTTCTTAAGGGAGCTCAGTTTCTGGGCTGCTGGCTTAGACAAAGCTCATTGGGATGTGGAGCATTGAAATGTAAACTAAGTGGAGCAATTAAACAAACTGGGATCCCAGGAGTTGGTCTCCACGCAGCCTGAATTGCTTGCTTCGGTTACTTTGCTGCATAGTAAGCTCCTCTACAGCTGTAGCTCGAATACGTTACCGTGTTCCCTATGGTAACATCTTACCTGCACCAGATGGCCTGACCTCAGTGAGGAGCAAGTGTACCTGGTGCTCCCTAATAATTCTGGAAGGCATTGTCTTCCATCCAAGAGGTACTTTCCTAAGCCCAGTCCCCTTTTTGTAGAAGGCATTTGACAACCTCAGGGTTAAAACACCAAGTGCTTCTTATTAAAAAAGAGCAGGCAGATGCAAAGTTGTTGTGTTACCATGGTGACCTGGGCTATAGTCTAAAGAAGTTACAAAGACAGATTTAGATGTAATGGTAAAAACTAGTGATTTTCCTAAGCTGTGCCTTGTTTTGGAAGGAAATGCTGGCTCATGCAGAGCTGCGGGTGATCTCATTGGCTCACATCTCAGTCCTCCCTCTCATTTCTCACTCTCTTCCCCTCTTTCACTCTCTCTTCAGAATGGTAACACTGCCTTGGCGATTGCTAAGCGTCTGGGCTACATCTCCGTGGTCGACACCCTGAAGGTTGTGACCGAGGAGGTCACCACCACCACCACAGTGAGTACAAGTGACAGATGGGCTTCTGCCCTGTCTTCTTGGTTTTCCAGCCACATACTTTTCCACTCATGCAGTTTGAAGCTTTTAGAGTTGAACTTTGGTTGAATGCATTGCAGAACATACACAGAAGCATGCAGATGCAAATGCTTTACACAAGGGACACGGGACTTTTGGCTTCTTTTACTCAACGTAATTCCACGCAATGTGTGTGAATATAGTTTTATAGTGTTTAGTATCTTCTTTAACTTTTTTTTTTTTTTTTCCTGGTGCCTCTGCCCTTTTCCTTGAGTTGTGTGTGACACCTACTGCTGGCAGAGTGGCAGCACACTCTGAAGCAAACTTCTTGAAGCAAACACAGGAAGTCAGGTTGCCCATGGACAGACCCTGACCCTCCTGTCCATTGTGCTCCTGGCCCTGGCGGAGTCAAATGCACTGTCAGTGAGAACAATTGATCCTGACTTTTCTTCTTATTTCTGATTATTTTATTCAAAAAGAAAATTCCATGTTCTTAGTAGATTTTTAAATTTCCACCCTTTTATCACAATAACTGATTTCTTTAGCAAACAGTGATGATGACTGGCCTTTGCCAGAGAAACTCTGGAAGAGTGAACACCCGACAATCATGAGTCCCAATGCTCTTGTACAGTTCAGCTGGAGCGAAGCCTAAAGGAGGCCCCCTCAGAGGGGGCTCCTGGCAGAAAGTGGAAATGCTATTATATTTGCATTTATTTGCATATTAGCTTTTTCACTTAAGCACAAACTCTAAGAACAATAACTTTTCAGTTTATCTTTGTAAAATAGAAAATTAGAACAACAGTAAAACATTAGATATAGAGACAGTAAAACCATAAATCACAAATTAAGGATTCTGAAGAAGGTTCTAGTAAATGATGCAAAAAGAGTTTTGGAACACTTGGTTCTTTTGATAGATGGGAGGAAAAAGAAAGGAATTTTGCTTTCCAGGGTGATGGAAAGTCCCTATTGACATCCACTGAAGTAGATGGAATAAGTTGGTTTAACATGCAGTTTTAAATAGAGTGGAGTATGATTTATTAATGAACTGCAAGATACAGACTGAATTTAGATGGGAGAGAATAGGACTGCTCATTTTCTCCAGCAGAATCTTAAAGCCTTTAGCCAGTACACCACAATGTTTTTAAAGATTTAAAGTGTAGCTTTAATAAATTATATAGGAGTAAAACCGTCTTATCACTGCCTAACAGCACATTTTGTAGGTCATTACATATGGCTGAATCCTTTTTTAATGTTAAAATTTTATTTTTATTTAAAACCATTTTTGAAGATGCATTAAAAATGTCCATATTCATGGGGTCCAGGTAATGTTTTGATACATGTATACATTCTGTGGTGTTCAAATAAGGATGAACCTGTCTAGCTGGTAAAAACATTCAAAATTCGTTTTGTATGACTAAATCTTAATTTGAATTTTAATTGCTTTTTCTTACTATATGACTTATCATCCCAGGATAATCTTCACGTTAAGGTTCAATACACTTAGGCCACTTTATTTGGCACATTTTCAGCATTGTGTACATCCCAAACAAATGAAGTCTTTAGTGGCAAGATTACCCAAGCACATCTGTTGTGAGAAGTGTTTTTTTGTCAACTCTATTTCTTTTTCCATGCTCTGGGAATCATGTATGTACTTTTTTTTTTTTTAAATCAATTCCACTAGATGGCAAACTTTCATCTCTTTTGCTGTCTTGGACCTGCTTTTCTTCCACTCATTAACTAATTGATTCCTTCGTTGTTTTTTGGACATAAAATATGCACTAGGCTCCTTGCTGTATGAAAGTCATTCATAGTAGCAGGAATGGAGAATGAGATTTATGCTCCACAATGAAGTAAGGTTTTTTACATCAAGAGCACTATGCAACTTACAGCTTCAGTTCCAAAGTTTCAAATTATTTTAAACATAAAGATTTGAATTTTTAAAGAGGAACAATTAGCTTTCTTCATTTGGCTCTAAATATTCTAATTACTGTCTCCAAACAAGTTCTCAGGTATCTTCTCAGAAATCAGATTGTGAGGTGTTCTGAGAGGTCATCTCCAAACCACATTTAGGTCTAGAGAGAGATGACAGCTTCCTATACAACCCTCTGTGAGTTTTTTGTTTCATTTTTCCTGTTAACTGTTATTCTCTACACATTCTAGCTGAGCACAGTTCAAAAATCAAGACATCAACAACAGAATTCACTATACTCAGAATTCAAATTTATAAGTAAAAAGCCAATAAACAAATATAAACCATGACAGAATTTCTGAGTTCAAGTAGAACAATAAACAGTCATTGACAGCATTAAATAAACAAGTACCCCCTTTAATCAGGTGTTTTTATGGATACATATTTCAATACTGTTGCCTTTACTTTATGCTTCTCTGATTTCTTATAGAATGGTGAGTTTGTTTTGTGAAATGGAACCTAGGGTGAAGAGTTGAAAATAAGAATTTATTCTTTTCTATAAAATCTCTCATATTACACTTCTTTTTTGGGAAGAGATTTTCAAGCATTCTTTTCCACATAATTTATTTTCCATGTAAGCTGTTATTAAAAATAATACTTAATACTTAGGGTTAAAAATATGCCAGACATGGAGGGCAAATCTAGGATTCAAGTTTAGGTTGTTGGAATCCAAAGCCCTCATTTCTAACCACTCTGGCTAACTGATCTTGGTTTTGCTGAAAAATAGCCTAACAGGAATTTTGTACAAAACTATTTTTTACAAAATTTTTAATTAAAAAAATATCCCCCAAAACAGCATTCTTTCTTGATTTTGGTAGGAGCATCATATTCAGTATCATTTTCTCAAGTCTATAGATTCACCAAAATTAATTTAGTATGTGGTGATAGCAAATAGCACAAGATTGTTTAATAATTAGGTAAAATTAATAAAATCTATTTTGATGTTATTACCATTTAACTATACTAGCTGCATTACAGCTATACAGCTGATGTATGGATTTCACATCAGTTGAATTCATATGATGTGCCATTTGAGCAGCCATGTGAGTTCTCTTTTGATCAGAAAAAAATGTTCCTGTGCTTTTCTTCCTTCCAGAGTTCTTTACTCCAAAGTATGAATGAAATCATTGTGCACAAGGCAAAGTAAGGCATCAGTTTATAAAGGAAATGTTACTGCTGCAGAGATTTCTGAGACATTTTGGAATCGTGGTTTGTTTCCTTAACCTTTGCTTTTCTAACTTTACTTTGAAAAACACAGCAGGGAAGATGAGACAGTTTAGAATTCTCCTGAGGCTACAGTCACTCTGAGTTTGCCAGAATAGACGTCAGAGTGGTGGGGACACATTTCTGGCAGCAGAAGTTGGTAAACCCAATCTTCTAAGGCAGCTTGGAAAAAGTATGGGATGTGACTCATCCCTCTACTTATCGATCAGCTATCAATTCCTTTTATTTGTATAGAGTCATCATGTTTTGTGTTGCATATAATCATTGGCAAACAGAGCATAAATTACTGAATCAATTACTGAAATAAAAATATCAGATATAAGTGATATGATATATATTTTCATTTGAACATTGGGGCAGTCTTTTAACAAGCAATTAGGAAAGTGTAAAGCACCCAAGTCCTAAATCTTATCTGATACCATGTCCATTAACAAGGGAGTCATAAAACTGGCAATGTAATAAATAAATGTAATGTCATTTGATACCTTTTTATGAGACATCATTTCTGTGAATAAGGTTCTGGACTCAATGGCTGAATAATATATACTATATTATGTATATTACATACTATCTACTGTATTACACTCAGTAATATACTATATTGTAATGTGTATATACCTTATATCTATGTGCATATAATATTTACATAACGTATGCATTTTTTAAAGGAGACATTATACTTAATGGAGAAGCATTTTAAATGTTTGTCAGATTTTTTCCAGTGTGTTAGAATTATCCTAGTCACACTTATTGGATGGCAATTATTTTTGGTGACTCACCTTTGTTGAGGCTTTGCAGAGTACTTACCTTAGTTTGTATAGAAAAGAGTTTACATAATATTTAATTTAATCACAAAAGTTATATCCACATGTGTGATTGGTATAAGTAGATTTGAAAACAAAAACAAGTTTAGCCTGTAAATTGATGGGAGGCAATGGTTGTGGGCATTGGAAGGTGACATAGTGGCCAAGATCAGTCATTGTATTGTGGCCTAATGAATATGTGACATAAAAGAAATGGTTTACTGGGAATGGCTAAGTAAAGGTCAATTAATCACACTTTTTATTTTCATAGAACAAACCAGATATTAACCACCATTTATAAAACATCATGTTAAGGGCTCATGCTTTATTTTCTACATTTTCTGTATATTATGATAAGTAATAAAAACTTGTCATCTGATTTAATTATATCCCATCAAATTTGCACAGAGCATACTACTCATTTTAACTTTTAAAGTAGTTTCTAATCTTGACCACAGCATCTTCGTTTCTACAGCAGAAGGAGAGGCACATGATCATTTAATTATAGCTTTGTTTTGCATGTACTGTTCAGAGGCAATTGCATACAACCATATTTATGTTTCAATAATTGAGTTTTCAGAGGATACTTTCAGAGGATAAGAAAACACATATTCATTTCTCATTACATTACTCATGAATAGGAAGCCTTATTTGTCACTCATTTAACAACACTTATTGATAGCCTTCTAAAGGCCAAGTGTAACATTGTGTACAAATGGGTATTATCTTTACTATATTGCCAGAGGGAGTTTTGAATATACAAAAAAAATACCCTTGGCAAAGATGATTACTGTGTTCTGATTTTTATCTTTCCACATACATTTGCTTATAATAACTTTGACAGCATTCAAAGATCAGACTAAAGCAAATTAATTATTTCAATTTTTGTAAGTACAAATACAATATAGTCCCATTACCAGCATCTGAAAATAGAAATTGAGACCGCCAGGAGGCAGTCATTCAAGAAGTATCTCCATCAATTATTTTTGAATGGAGAATCATCCTCTTGAAGAAATGTTTACCTGGAAGGATGAACACTCTAGAACATTTCTGGAAAAAAAAAAAAGACTTTGTGGTGTAGTAGAATTCAATAGATATAAATTCACATTTTTTTATTATTTTATTTGCCATTAGATAATTACTGTTAAAGAATAAAAAAACTTTTAGCAAAACGTCATAATATAGCTGTCTCCATCCTATATTTCATATGAAAATAATTCTTCCACATACACTTTCTCCAATCCAGGAAAATGAATCTCAAATTGAACGACACAATACACCCAAATGAAAAAAAAATTACTGATGTGATAGATGACCATTTTACTTTTATTCAGTTTTTATTAGTAGATGATCATTCCTTTTGCAAATTCATTCTTTGGCAGTTTTATATGACCATATTCCTCAGAGCATCTAAAATACTGCTGGGTGTATACATGAATCATAGAATGTCTTCAGGAATGTGGTGTTAAGTAAGTTGCCTACCTAACTGAGGAGCTTTAAAAAAAAAAAAATACCCATAGTTGGACCCTATCCTCAGGGATTCTGATTCAATAGGTCTGTAATATGATCCAAGTAACAACATTTTTTTAAAATCCCTCTAATAATTCTAATATGCAGCTAGAGTTGAATACAACTAATTGAGAACATAGGTTGTAATTTATCTGTGTTAAATTTATAAACCCATATTGACAATATTAAAATAATAACCAAATGGTATAACAGTCTTTTTAAGTTCATTCATTCAACAAATCTTTATTCAACACCTATTCTTCTCCAGAACTTTGGATGCATGCTTTTGTCTTTCCTGCAACATTTGCTTTCAGTGAATAAGATGCTATGGAATTATTTAAACATCATAAGAAACATTCAGGCATGCTGAATTTGTTATTCTGTGCTTCAATTCTGTGCTTCTCTGGATATTGTAACATTTGCTTTAGTTAGTCAGTTTCTTCCTAGTCATTTAACTATGATTCCACCCCAAAGAAAATCTATTTAATCATTTTTGTGGCTCTTAACTATATTTTTTGCATAATTTCATATCATCAATTTTTTCAATATGTATTGGGGAGGTACATATTGGAAATAATTTCCCTCTTAAATGACTCATAATGTTATGTGGGAGCAGATAAATAGATAAGGCTCACACAGTTATATGATGTGGTCACACGATGTTCTAGGGTACATAGCAACAGATGAACAGAGATAAACAAATGAATTAATTGGTGAGGGCCAAGAATGTTTCTCTAAGGAAGTTTCATCTAACATGAGCCAAGAAAAGATGGGGAAGAAGAATCCTGGTGGAGGAAAAAGTGTGTGGAAAAATTGAGGCATAAGAGAACATAACACTGTACTGTCTTATATTTATAAAAAGAACAAATAAAAAAATATATAAAAGGTTTCAAAAGGGCTGATAGCTCAGGGGAGAAGTGCATGCTTAGCATGCCCAAGGCCCCAAATTCAATATGCAGCACTATTAAAAAAAAAAAAAAGAAAGAAAGAAAGAAAAAGAAAAGGAAAGGAAAGCAAATAAGCAAAATTTTCTAAAATAGCACAGGAAAGAACACTTGGTAGTAAAACCATTAAAATTTACATCTTGGATTGAGTGCTTGCCTAGCATGCATGACATTCTAGGTTCAGTATCCAGCACTTCAGTATATACACACATAAATTTAATGTCTTTTTTTCTACCTTAATGGTTTAGAAAACCCTTTTGGAATAACTCAAGTTCTTGCTTGGTTCAAAATGATGGATTACTTGACAGTTATTACTGTTAGGTTACAATGCAGCCTGTAAATAGTAAAAGCAGTAATAAAAGTGTGGTCATTTAACTTTGGGTGTGGCAGGGAGAGAACCTGACCTGTGTTGTCAGGGACACAGGCCTTCTAACATGGTCATAGTATGGAGTGAGACATGGGGCCTCCCTCTCATTCCCTCTTCACTACATCACAAGGGGTCTTGTGAGCCATTTTATTTAGTATTTTTTTTTTCTGAAGAAAACGGAGAGCCATTAAAAGACTTATGCAGTATCACATAAAGATTTTAATCAATCCCTCTTAACACACATATTATATACGTATACATTTCTAATTTCTCAGTTTAATTTGACAATCAATTGAATTCTTCATAAATATATTTGAAGCTCTCTGCTGCTTTTGAAAAGGAAAGAACTGGTGGTAGGATTATTACAGCCATTCAAACAATCTCTGATACCTATGTTGTGAAACCTAAAGAAAATATAGACAACGTATTCATTGTACTTCTGTGCTTTAGTTGAAGATTTTACTAACGTCATGGAATTTTCCTTTTAAAGTTATCATGACTGCAAAGTGGTACACTTAATTCATTTTGAATGGAGAAACCAGAGATATGGGTTTGAGACTCAAGAATATTTAGTAATATTTAGGTGACATTTAGTCATGAGATTTAGATTTTTATTCTTTTTTGTACACGTGTTTTATTTATTTATGTAAATTGTAAAAAAATGGTACTTATTAATGGTGCACAATATAAAGCTTTGATGAGTACATACATTCTGGAATGGCTAAATCAAGCTAGTTTATATATCCATCATTCCATATACTTATCCTTTTTGGTGATGAGAATGCTTAAAATCTACTTCTTTGGCAGTTTTCAAGTATACAACATATTGTTTCTATTGCTATAGTCACCATGTAATACATCTCAAACTTACTATTCCTGTCTAACCGAAATTTTGTGTTCTTTCAACATCATCTCCCTAATCCTCCTCATCTGGCCCACTCAGCCCCTGGTAACCACCATTCTACCCTCTGCTTCTATAAGTTGGATTATTTTAGATTCTTCATATAAGCGAAATCATGAGGTATTTGTCTTTCTATGCTGGCTTATTTATTATTATTATTATTTTTTAATCACTGTGGTGTCTTAGGTGTTTAGCACGATTATTATGCAATCTGCACTCAAAATGTTTCATGAGTACATGAGTGCCTGAAACTTCAGAGGACCAGGAGAGGTGGCACACACACCTAGTGACTAGAGAGGCTGAGGCTGGAGGATGGCAAATTTGAAGGCAGCCTTGGCAACTTAGTGAGACCCTATCTCAAAAAATAAAAAGGGCTGGGGATATAGCTCAGTGCTGAAGCACCCCTGGTTCAGTCCCCAGTACCAAATAAATAAATAAATAGGTCTCAACCTTACGCCACACATCAGGATGGAGAGGCAGTGCATCTGACCACTCTGGGTGCTATCTTGGAAGGCAGATAAAGAACATACCAGAATTGTGGTGAAATACAGAGAATTTGACTGATTCCCTACCGTTGATCTTGTAATCCAGAAAGGACGTGTCACATTATCTGCTCACGTTAATTTATGTGGCTCACATTGTTTACAACTTCCTTTCCCAAGGCTTTTTGCTTTTAATAAAGTGCATGTTTTCATTGCTTCCTTTTAAAGCTTTTCTAGAAACGTCACTTAGTTCATTTTAGAGAAGCCTTGAAAGCATTAATGTACTTTCTCAGTATGACTAATTATTAACGCCATCACTAAAGAATTTGCTTTTTAAGTGAGAACTCAAATAATAAACCTTCTCTTGTATAATTTCACTGCAAAGATCATTTTTCTTCTGAAAGAACAGATGAGTTTTCACAGGAGAGAGAGGTTTCCACAGGGTATACGCCGATAAGATGGGGCATTTGGGGCCTGATGCTGCTATCGAGTATGATCCATTCCGTCGTTCTTTGCATCTTCTGTTTGATTTTTTTTTTTTAACTTGAAGTCCTAATGATTTTTGTCTTTTCAGACCATCACAGAGAAACACAAGTTAAATGTTCCTGAAACGATGACCGAGGTTCTTGACGTTTCTGATGAAGAAGGTAAGACTTGTTTGAACTGTTATGACATCTGTCACATTATCACACAGAAACCGACCCAGTGCTGGGGAATGCCACCTCTTAACACTTAAATTTAACATTAAAAGTTCTTTCTACATCTTTGTTTCAATATGTTTACTTCTGCCACTCTGGGGGAGCAAGGAGGAAAGACTGATCAGTCTATTTTCTCCTTTCATTGTTTTTAATATATGTATCAAATGACAGTTGGCAGGAAGTGGAAAGAACCAAAACTGATCATGCTTTAAAAGAGCTACCTGGTAATACAATTATTAATAAGGTGTATTTTAATTATGTCAAAATATTTTTTATTCAAGTGTCTTAAGGTCTTTAAAGTATTCTTCATTAATGATATATTAAGAAATCTCTGCTTTCTGATTGGTTCAAATGTACAGAACAACTATTAAATCCAAAGGAAAAGAGCCATAGTGAAGGCTTAAAAATAGCACTGCAGCAAATAGTACAAATCCAACATAAATAAGCATCTTTAAGTTAAAAAAAAAAAAAAAGATGCATCTTATAGTTTTAAAGTTGATAAAAATTATCTAAGGCAGTAGATTGCAAAGTCCTAGGAAGCCCTTTTTTCTAAAAGGCGTCCTAGGGACTGCCTAGGGTAGGTGAGAGGCATCTTGCCAGAGCTGGAGTTCTGGCCCCTCTACTTCAAACCAGAAAGTCGACTTTGCTTTATATTTTGAATTTTCATATAATAGGCCACTTGAATAAAAAAAAACCTGCTACTAAAATATCACAAAGGAAGTTTATAAAGTATGTAACCTAGCCTCAGTGGTGCCACTGTTGGTCATATGTACATGATTGAAAAATCATTGCCAAATGCTTATACATGGAAAATGTATATGTTTGAAAATTATTGCCTTAAAAGGTGGTACTAGGCTTAATACTATACTTTTATGAAGAAATACTAAAGCATTTTTTAAGGTTCATCAACATAAAATCAGGTAAAACTTTAATTGTGATATTTTTCTTTGGAACCAATTTGTTATATCACCTATTGACTAATAGGTATTGAGTTGTCTCAATTTATAAAAGATTCAGGACGGACAAGAATGAACAAATGTTGGGTAAATGCATTATTATAAGTAAGTTAAAAAATATTGTCAAAGTCATCAGATGCACATATTTATCATAATTTTGTGTTCTATCCTTATACTTATGAACTAATTTTCCAGTATCCATGTATGCATACCATATTTTGTTTTATGGATCATCTTTCTCATCTTCACTTCTATGTTGTACAGCTTTAAAACAGTTTGGGGACCATTTTGTTGATGGGGAAACACTTAGTGATTCAGGTACCATTAGAGGAACTTGGAGTGTAAGCTTTTCTTTGCTTTTGTTTTTTTATGAAATGGATAAAAACAACTTGCTTATTATTTAAATCTGTGTGCCTGTTACTAATGTTTCTTTTGAAATAGCATGTGTAATATGGGTGGAATTGTATATGTGCGCTTATGACTGTGTGGATTTTATTAACCTAGAAGCTTAAAGCTGTAAATAGTTTATGCTTTCAATGATTTTACAACTACTATTGAGACTTACTAACATAACATCATCAGATGATATTATATAAATATTTTTCTCAAATTAATATCTTTTCTTAGGATATAAATTTAGAGAAGTAGTAATCCTTTGCTAAATTGATACTAAACTAGCATAATCATGTTAAAATATGTCATTAGTTACTAACTAAGCTATAAGCTAAGACTGCTTGTAATGAATACAGTTCACATCATCCTTCTTGGATGAAGACATACTTCAAGTTTGGTAAGAGAAAATATTAAATTAGAAGCTGGGTATAGTAGCAAGAGCCTATACTATAGCCTCAACCACTGGGAAGCTGAGGCAGGAGGATTACTGGAGTCCAGGAGTTCATCAGCCTATGTAAAATAGCAAGACCCTGTCTCTTAAAAAGTATAAGTATATATAATATATATTAATTTTTACTATATAAATTAGTGATTTTTAAAAAAAAATTAAAATTAAAAAAATATTTTAAATAATGTGAATTTTTTAAATTTAAGAATGGAGATAAATAAACTTTTAAAATTATTTAGGGTAAACTTGGCATTTAGGGGAAAAATGAATGATATAAGACATTCTATAGTTTAGCCAGAAATTTCAAAAGTACATGTGGTACTATTTTAATGCAACTCTACTAAATTAAAAAAATAATGATTATTTGATTTAAAAATAACTTTATTTACAAAATAATTGTTAAAGAATTCCATTACTAGTGCATTTAAAACATTTATTATTGGATCTTTAGAAATTTCATTAATAGCCTCTCAGACCTGCACAATAAGGTCTAGCTATAACATGTAACTTAAAAAATTAAAACCATTATCTATTAAAAATTATTAGGGATAAAAACTGTTGATTTGAGAAGCATATTGGTTAATGATCAAGAAAGTCTCTTTAGTAAGAAAAATTTTCCATTTTTAAAAATAGCTCAAAACTTAGTAACCTTTTATTCCTAGCAGGCAATTCAAGTTGAATAATTTTTATATAAAGGACATATTAGAGTAGTATAAACTATCTTTTTCATTCAGGGAAAGTATAAAGAGAGTTGGCTTTCACATTGCCAACTCTTTAATGTTTTGCACAACTAAAAATGTTTTCATAGAACCTGACATCACCCACGTGGTCATATTGCATCCACATGTGTTTGGAAAGTACTATCCAATTCTCATTTTCTCTACAGCATCTATTATTTTAACAATAGTAATACTGTACTACCCCAAAGATTAGTCAAGCCAAATACAGATGTCTTCTAAGACTAACTTGCTATGTATTATAGAAATCAGCATTATCCGTCCATGAATCTATGAACAAGTAGTGAATGTGAAATTTTATGGTGGAAAGGTCTATAACTGGTACTATGGGGGAATCAAAGGTGAATATGAGGTATGCCTTTGAGAAGTGTGAATGGAGAGATAATGTATAAAAGAAGTATAATTTAGGGCAACATGTCAGGTCTTCATATTTGCTTGGCAGGATGGAGATACTTAGCAGTTTCATAGATGATAGATGAATTAGAAGGTAATCCAGGTTTTAGGGAGTGAAGAAGGGATAGTGTGAAGGTCCCAAGATGGGAAAAGTTCAAAAGAGATGTAGAGTAATCAAGTAATACAGTCAATTGATTTGGCTAATGCATAAAAACATGGGGTCAGTTGTGGAGTGTTTGAATTCTTAACTGAAAAGTCTGGGAAAATTAGGATACCTTAAAATGTCATTTAAATCTGTTAATCCAATTAAATCTGTTAATTAAATTAAATCTGTTAATCCGACAGGGGTCCACAGAAGGCATGCACTAAGAACTTGGAAAGAAACAGATATCAAAGCAGAGACAAATAATTTATTGAAGCATTTAGATGTGTTATCTTATTTAACTCCCACAGCATCCCTGTGAGAGAGGCTATAGATTTCCCCCATATATTTTTTTTTTCAGGTGAGGACAGGCTTATCTGCAGGCGAAGAGAATAAGCCTTAGAGACATTAAGTAGTTTGTTCAGTGGCACACAGCTATTAAGTGGTAATAGAATCTAAATAGTAGTAGAGTCTAAATCTAGCATGAAAACTGTTATAACAGCTTGGCTGTGTTAGAAAAAACATCTTCATGGAGGAGCATGGAGGAAATACAAGAAAAAGACAGAAGTGGGAAGGGAATTATAATGTCCAGACTTCATTGAAGCTGTGAATGTAATCCTCGACATCTCGTGGAATCATGAGCTGATTCCTGTCTTTGCTGACTCAGCTCCATAGCCATAAGCTGTAAGTGGGAGCTGAGGAGTTATAACACTAGTGCAGTGGGAAAAAAAAAAAATGATCTAACAGTTGAGAACTCCAGCATGGCAGAGCATTGTATGAAATACTGAGGCTCCATCTGTCTTCTGCTTTGACACACTTCACTTCTATTGTGAACACTTGACACTTAGTGAAGCCCTTATCTCAGAATTGGGTCTTTTCCCCATGTATCAACAGCAAGGATAATTTGAATGGGAGGGAGTAGTGACATTTCAGATAATCATCTTCTTCCCAGCATCAAGAGAGGTTGTCAGAGTGGAGAACTCTTGTGACCATTCCATTGTATCTTAATTTGTGTCTACACTCTTCAGATCTGTGTCCTACAGAGGCTGGTTATTTTAGTTGGGTTTGTGTGATTGTGATCTAAAGGCCCAACAAGAAAATCTTAGAGAAGGAAAAGTTTATTTTGGCTCAGTTTCCGAGGTTCAATCCCTGGTCATCTGAGTCCATGGCTCTGGAACCCAAGGTGAGACAGAACATCATAGAGGAAGGATGTGGCACAAGGAAGCAGCTCAGGAGGTGACAACTAGGAAGCAGAGAGCACTGCTCACTATGGACAAAATATAACCCCCAAAGCACACCCCCAGTGATCCACTTCCTCCAGCCACACCCTGCCTGCCTATAGTTACCACCCACTTAAATCACATCTGAGGATTAATCCACTGATTAGCTTTTAGCTGTCATAATCTTTTCACCTCTGAACATCTTGCATTGTCTCCCATATGAGTTTATGGGGGACATCTCATATCTATACCATAACACTGTTCATGGTTAAATTCCACTATCACTATGGAATCTTGTAGTTTCCAGCTATCAAAACTTCAACTCTGTTGTGATAACACTGATGCTTTTAGGGTTAATAGGAAAGCGTTGTCACAACATTGTTTGGAAAGAATTGGAGAATACAACAAAGAAAAGTAATTCATAAACCTGGGTGTCATCATTTCATTAAGTGAGGAAGTAGGTAATGAGGGGGAGGTGTCATCCTGAGCATAGGCCACAGTAAGGAAATTTATATAAGGTTTATTATATGATGGAATAAAATAGGTTTGACTATTTTACATCAAGTAAGTAAGCTGGTAAAAGGAAGTATGTTGGTGTATAATAATCCTTTCACAATCTAAGTTACATAAAAGTTTTTCCAAGTATACTGAAAGTCTACTTAAATAAGAGCTAAACGTTTTACAGCAAACTATTGTTTTTAATACACTCATCCCCATAGACCTGATCAACTTGGGCAAGGAAGTAGTTGTTTTGTTTGCTTATATATGGAATTTGCAAAGAAGTATGGTGGCTAGGGGTGGGATAGGTAAAGAAGATGAGTTCTGTTTGGGTCAAGCTAAATCTGAGTTGCTTGTAGGAATTTCAGTGCCCCAAACTAGGATTAGGACACAATTGTGTAGATGTGGAGTTTGTGAGCAAGGTCTATGATGGATATCAATTTGTGTATAGATAGTGTATAAGGGGTCCTTGAACCATTCAATAATCTTAATAATACATGATAATATATGACATAAGAAGAAAGATTAGATGGGAAACAGCAACATTTATGGGAAGTAGAAGCTGAGAAGAAAAACTCAAAGTGGTAGGGGGAAGACAAGGAGAGATGTCAGAGAAATTAAGAAGAGTTATTTTTTAGAGAAAAAAAAGCTTCTTTGAGTCATTTCTCTCTGAGACATAATCAAGACATCATGATCAGAAAGAGAAAGGGGGAGGGAAAGAAGAAATACAGGAGATTGAAATGGAGTAATTGTGTTATATGCATTTGTAAATGTCAGAATAAATTCCACTATTATGTATGACTATAATACACTAATGAAATGTAGAAAATAAAAAATTTTTAAAAACACTAAAAAATTATTAAAACAAACAAACAAAAAACCCTGTGATGTTATATACCTAAGGCCATCATAGGTGTCTCTAGAACTGTGAAGTGCTGGGCGTGGTGGCGCACGCCTGTAATTCCCAGTGGTTTGGAAGTCGGAGGCAGGAGGATAGTGAGTTCAAAGCCAGCCTCAGTAGTTTAGCGAGGCTCTAAGCAACTCAGTGAGTTCCTGTCTCCAATAAAATACAAAGTAGGGCTAGGAATGTGGCTTAATGGTCTGGTCCAATGCCCCTGAGTTCAATCCCTGGTACCACCCCCCAACACCC